CTTGACCTCATTTTCATGGTTCATTGGTCAATGTTAAGTTTTCTTGGTTAAGACTGTTTCTTAGAAACTATAAGCAATAGGTCAACTATGTTTGGCTTATTGAATGATTGTAAGGTGTACATGTATTTCTCGTTTGGTTTATCTGACCTTGACCTCATTTTCTTGGATCATGTTAAGTTTATGTGTTACTTGTAGTAAAGCTTTATATTTAGGACTATCAACATAAAATCAATGGTTAGTAAAGAAGGCGAGACATTTCAGATTGTGCAGTCTTGTTCTTTTTTAGCCATGGTGTTGTCAGTTTATTTTTGACTTATGAGTTTGAATGTCCCTCTGGTATCTTTTGCCTCTCTTTAGCAATACCAGATCTACAATTATGCCAATGTGACTAAAACAAATCATTGACTCAAAAAAAGGGTAATTGCCCTTAAATGATGATTTTTATGCCCTTGCCTATGATAAGAGGGTCATTATGTATTTTTGTCTCTTCATCTGTTTCGTGTGTCCTGTATCACGGTTAGGGTTTTCGGTTAAGATAGTTGACCATGAAGTTGTAGTCACATCAACTTGAAACTTAATACACATATATATAATGATGTTAACTTTTTAAATTTTATGTCAAAATAGGGTTTTATCCCAGATCCCATGGACCAAGCTCAACCTAAGATTAAACATTTTGTTTATAAGGTAATTTACCATGAAATTTGTGGTCACATCATTTTAAAACTTAGTTCAAATGTTCATTTTTATGTCAACAATTTAAATTATATGCCAAATTAGGGTTTGACCCAAATTCTATGCACCTTTTAAGTTGACTTGATATAGATATAGAGCTAGTAGGACATGGTATCCTATGGACACAGATTCTAGTTTTGACTATTTTGAGTGATTTAGCTGATGATCTTGAAAAGTACAATACAAAGACAGAAACTGTATATGCAGCAGAAATGATTTATGTATATATAGCACATAATGATCAAAACCAGTATAGGAGAAAATGGCCTTCAAATGACAAATTTTCTGAAAGAAATGACCAGCAATACAAAATCTAGTACAAATATAACAAATATGACTGAAACCATTAATTAGTTTAAACATATTTTATTGTTCAGAAAATAAACAAATGGATGAGACGTAAGTTTAACAACTTAGCACTGTCTTCTCCAGTACATACACAATTTACAAATAAATATACATGATATATAAGTGCCTATAAATAGCAACATATGACATACAAATCTATGGGAGTGTGGATTAATCAGTACAGAGATTAATACAATTACACAAATAAAATTATAGATTGCCTAACAATGTAATTTTAACACACTATTTAGTATGTAAATATTAGAATGTTTAAAATATTTTCAAAACGATAAAAATAAACGCAATATTTCGCTAGACAAACTAGCTTTATCAAGCGTGCATCTATCCAGGTGAAATCGGATGTAGATATGATATATATATATATTCTTTTTATAACCTATTTAATGTTAATTTACTCCAGACATATTGAAATTTTGGTTTTAACCAATTCCATGATGCATTTATAAAATTTGCATATATTTATCTTGAAAACTTTTATAAATAACAAAAAACTCTAGTCTATATATATATATATGCTAGATATATATTTGATATACACTCACTCACGGTAACTGAAAAAAAGCAGAAATGATCATCAAAGCTATAAAATTTACAATTACTGTTAGTTGAAATTTTTTTGCTATGAAAAAATTGTGAAAATTTGTATACGATACGTTTTACAAAAATAAAACCCACATTGTAAATTTTGATAGCATTATTTTTATATAGAGCATTAGTTTATACACATGTATATATATAAACTCTGAAAGGACAATTATTGTTTTTTTCTTTAAGTCCATTGCTAAACAATTTCACTATATAACAAATGCAAGTAAACATGACCCAAACTGTCAACTGCAGTTTATTTAAGTAATTTGCTTAAACAATGATATGTTTGGGATATTTATTTCAAAAACCATGATTACTGCATTTTGTATTAATGTGAAGAAAAAATGATTTATTAGTCTTGCATTTACTTGAGTGCCCTCAAACTGCTGTATATTTGAAAATAAAAAAGGAGTTGCTTCACTAACTCATAAGTTTGGCCCTAAAATTTTTTTCACTGCTATAATGTGGTGAAAATTTTCAACAACTGAGTCATTTCATGACCTGTTTGTGACATATTAATGTAGGTGAATTTTGTAAAAACCTGATTTTTTGCAGAATACTGCAAAGTTTATGACAGTATTCTGAAAAAAGTTAACAGTGGCGCCATCCCTTCGCCCTCACATATTTTTTGCTGAAATACTCTTTTTGTACCATATTCTCTATTTTGAACAAAAATTTCAATGGACGAGGGCTGGCGCCATATAATAAAATCTTGAAAAAAGTTGAAAATTTCTAGGAAAATGGCAGAAAATAAAAACTATTCCTGTTTAAGGCTACTATCTTTATAAATAGGATGCAGCTATATATTTGTTATGCCCCTGCCGTTGCAGAGGGGGCATGAAGTTTAACCCTTGTCCATCTGTTCGTCCTAAAGTCCCAAAATTGGTTTCCATTCTCTAACTTTAGTTTGTCTAAAGCAAATGTTATGAAACTTACACACAATGCTTATTACCACAAAGCACAGATCAAGTTTAAATTTGGGTGGCGTTACTTTTACCTTTCTAGAGTTATGCCCCTTTATTAATGGAAAAATTGCTGAATTTTTTGTTTCCGTTCTCTAACTTAAGTTTGCCTCAACCAAATCTTATGAAACTTATATACAATGCTTATTATCACAAAATACAGATCAAGTTTGAATTTTGGTGGTGTCACTTTTGCTGTTCTAGAGTTATTCCCCTTTTCAAAAGGAAAATTGCTGAATTTTTCATTTCTGTTCTTTACTTAAAGTTTGCCTCAACTAAATGTTATGAAAATTATACACAATGCTTATTACCACAAAACTCAGATCAAGTACAAATTTGGGAAGCGTCACTTTTACCATTCCAGAGTAATGTCCCTTTATAATGTTATATGCAAGCAGGGGCATCATCTGTGTTCAGACACATTCCCTATTTATTTTATTATACTTTCAAATATCATACATTTAGCAATACATACACATTAGATTTAATTTATTTAGAGTTACTGGCTCTACTCCTTTGTTTATGAAAAATAAATTTTATTTTGAAAAATGTAATTATTAACTATAATATCATATACTACCATGTTTTGCCAGTTGAGTTAATCAGGCTTGTAGGAGCCTCTTGTTTGTTATTTATGGAAGACGCCTTTATAAGTTTTTTAAATGATGTCTTAAGTTGATAATGTTTATGTTATAAGTTATGTTTCAGATGCATTTGAAATTAGTCATAGAAATTACATTTTAAAAGCTGTTAATTGGCTTTTTTATCACGAATCATTTAGAGTCAGTACATATTTTTCAGGTAGCAATATATTCACCCCAAACAATGCCTGGTGTGCCACCAGAAACTGAGCAGAAGAGGAATGCTTTAAAAAAAGACCTGCATAAACTTTTAGTGGAATTCCCTAATGGGATCTTGAAAGAAAATGTGTGGACTCGTCTAGCAACCAGATCCAAATTAAAATTGAAAAACTCTGAGTTCAGAGTGGGGTCAATGGATGATATTTTCAAATTGTTTAAGGATATTGTCCATGAAGTAAATCGAGGTGGCTGGATATATATTCGTCTAAATCAGCATTCTTTACCAAAAGCCATCAATCCTTTACACCAAATTGGAGGAAAATATACTGCACCACGAAATCTTCATGCCCCTGTTTCATTGCAGCAACCATTTTCTATGCCAGCTCCATTGAAGCAGCCTGTTAACATGAAACCAATTAAGCTTGATGAGGGAGCATGGCCAGTATTAGGAACTTCTGCACCACCCAAAACGAGCAAACAACAAGAGACAAAATCTACAAATGAGTTATCACATAAATCAGGTCATGCTCATCTTATCAATACTCAACCCAGTCAGGGACTGTCACATCCACATTCTGTAAATAAAAAGCAGCGCTCTCACATTGAATATGAGAATGATGATGATGATGATGATGATGATTACGATACAGAATCAGTTGAGACAGCTAGCGATTACCAATCATCAGAAAATGATTTCTCAACAGACAGTAGGTCAAGTCAGCACCATGACACCTCAAAACCATTTCAATCACTTAGGTCAAATCAGCACCGTGACACCTCAAAACCATTTCAATCGCTTATATATAATAGGTCAAATCAGCACAATGACACCTCAACACCATTTCAATCACTTAGTAACACTACTTCACCGTTAGATGCAAAGAAGTTTAAAGATAAAGAGATGAATATAAGACCATTTCGAATGGCGACAAATAGTAAAGGAAAACCATCAATTCAGCAGCTTGAAACTTGTGCTCAAGAATGTATAGAATTATTAGCAGAGTCTAATAACTATGTATCGCAGGAGAGAATTCAAACGTTACTGCTGCAGAGATTAGGTATACCAAGTTTAGCATTGGCGGGACCTCGTAGAATTGATGAACTCAGTTGTGTTAGAGAACACAATAGAGCAATTGCAAAAGTGAACGCATACGTTCAAGCTTTTCTCAAAGTAAGATCTATTTGTACATTACATGAACTTAAGTATTGCTTAAGAGAATGTGAGCCTGAGAAAACAGATTTTAACAAATTGAACTTGGGACCAGTGCAGCGGCTTCCAATCATATATGAACATTTTAAATTCCCAACAGATATGGAAGAAATTCCAGCTATTACAACAGTAGATATATTGGAACATTTGAGGAATTACTTAACACAGAATATGAAATGGAGTGAAAAAGTAGACTTAACACAGTTTATGGAATACCTTGTTCCTCTGTATGATGCAGATAACGCATATCAGCTAGGGATCAGAATAAGCAGTGTGGCATTGGCAATACAGGTTTGTAACTTATGTTATCATATGATATCAGAATAAGCTGTGTGGCATTGGCAATACAGGTTTGTAACTTATGTTATCATATGGTATATACATATACATCTCTCTATTAATGAATTAGGAACCATAAAAATGATCTTTAGGCCTTTTGTTAAGAGCATGATAAATTTGTACATCTAAAAGTTGATATTAATTTGCTACAGTTTTTGATTTCACAATTTTCTTTAATCAAAGAAATGTTATAAAAAAAGTCGAATAAACATTGTGATATATTGAATGAAATAAGAAAAAACTGATATTACAATTTTGAAATCCTTTCAGGATAAGACAAACAAATCACATCTTTGATTTTGGTCTGACTATGTTCTTAACTAATGGATATAACTATATATTTTGTGAACAATTCAGGTACTGAAGATGGCCCAAAGACATGCTGCTGAGAACAGAAGAAATGTAATAGAGACGTTCAAAGTTCACCTTCATGATGATATTGAGAAAGCATTCCAGAAGTTCAGAATGACAGTGATTCATACAGCATCTGACGGAACATGGGAAGTTAGGAACCGTTACATGACACTTCACCCTGAAGTGGCAATACAAGAAATATTTGAGAAATTTAAATTTATTATGTTAATGGAAGAGCCTTCAACTAGATCACAGATTAAAATGCATCAAAAGATTGAATCCTCCATCCTGAACTTTCTTCAGATTCTAAGAACAGATGTTAATGCCAGTGCCTTGTTTCATTTAGCAATATGTGTCAGCCATTCTGTGCTTCAGGAGGCAGCTATGAAACGTTTGTTACCCAGAGAAGAAGATGAGAAGACAGAGCAGGATGGAGAAGAAAGAGTTAAGCCACCCAAAGGTAGGTTTTAACATTTGATTTTTTAAGAGTTTCAACTTAAACAAAAATGGACTTCAAGAATTAAAGATGGTTTATATATATCATACTTATTTCAATTCTATGATATGATCTTTCTAATATTAATGCCAAATTAGAGTTTTGACCCCAATTTCACGATCCACTGAACATAGAAAATGATGGTGCCCGCTTCAGGTTAAAGTTTTTGGTCAAGGTAGTTTTTGATGAAGTTGAAGTCCAATCAACTTGAAACTTAGTACACATGTTCCCTATGATATGATCTTTCTAATTTTAATGCCAAATTAGAGTTTTGAACCCAATTTCACGGTTCACTGAACATAGAAAATGATAGTGCGAATGGGGCATCCGTGTACTATGGACACATTCTTGTTTTGCAGGTGATGTTATTAATCTGCTGAAGAATTACCTGAAGCGTTGTTTACAACGTGGTGCATTAAATTTATCATTGCTTGATAAGATAGAAGAAAAAATTGCTGAAGAGTGTAATTTTCCGTCCTTTGCTGAAATTGGTTATGGAAGATTTCTACACTTTACCTTACAGGAGACAAAAGAAGTAAGTTATAATGTAGGGTATGGGCGATTTCTTGGCTTTACTTTACAGGAGTTATAAGAAGTAAGTTACTGGCAGGTTATTGGAGATTTCAACACTTTACCTCACAGGAGACAAAAGGAGTTAGTTATTGGTAGGGTATGGGGTTTCTACACTTTACCTTTACATTACACAGGAAACAAAAGGAGAACTAAGTTATTGTTAATATGAAGGGTTGTGTGATTTCTACACTTTACCTTACATTAGACAAAAGAATTTAGTTTTAGGTAGGGTAAAGGAGGTTTTACTCCTCGCCTGAAATTACAGGAGACAAAAGGAGTAAGTTATTTGTAGGGTATAGGGGTTTCTATATCAGTTTGAGTTACATTACCAATTAGCAATTTTGGTGAATTCAAGTGATTATCACCATAGGACATAGAAAATTGCTTGACATATAAGTTTTCAGGATGTTTTTTCTGTAATGCCTGAATAAATTGATTTAGTATTTGGTATATTCATAGCATAAGAAGGTTCAAATGTTAAAGTATGTAAGTTCAGGTTGAGAGATTTTTTTAGAAGTTGAAAACCTTAAAGTAAACATTGAAAATTGCTAGAAATGTACTTAGTTATTTACACTTTTTAGTAAGTCATAGAAATCTATTAGGTATTTGGTATACAGGTATTCAATACCTTTAGAAAGCTTTTTTAATTCAATTTCCAAGGTAGTTTAGACACAATGTAAAGGATTTAAAACAAATGTAAGTTGAAGCATGTTTTAAAGTTGACACTAATTTGTTTTATTGTTTTTCAGTTGCTTGAGGAATATGGAGGAACATCACTTGGTTCTGGTTCAGGGAGCAGTGATTCTGAGAGTGGCTTTAAACCTTGTAATGGGGATATACTCAGCTTCATCCATCAGTGTACACAGTGTGGTAAAGTCTCCGTAAGTAATGGTCAATCTCTATGTTTTACATGCAAACATATCAAGTTTCATCCTGCATAATATGCAATGTAACTTATATACATTCTATCATATTTATTTTAGAGACGATGTCACCCAAACTCAAATTTGTTCTGACTAATCAGTACAGTAGAATTGAAAAGCTCCTCTGTTCAGATTCTTCATGGTGTACATTGTTTTATTAATAAAAAGTCTCCATAAATCCAATCTTTTCAAACTTACTAGAGTACCCCTAATTAGAAGTCATCTATATGTAAACAAAATATTATTTCCACAAATGAGAAAACTTTACTTGTATTATTGTAATATTACCTTAATAACAAATCTGTTGTTTCTGAAAGTTTGTTTGATAACCTTATGTCCACCATGAAATATAGATCCGCAGACAAATTTATTTGATGGAATTAATTATTAACATTATTTCATGGTGGGATTATACTGAACACCAATCTCTAGTTGTTTCCCCGAACTGAAAGTTTGGGGCATATTGTTTTACCCCCATCCATCCATCCCTCCGTCCCATTATGGGTATTTAGCTATTCCAGATAACTCCTCCTACAGTTTGAATGCTAGGAAGTTTTCACTTTGCTGGCTGTTTGTACATATATCGAAGGTGTGCATGTGGTCAGGATTTTTTTTTTTTAATATTTGCTCTTTTGGGAGATAGTTGAACTTTTTATATACTTGCAAAAGAGGTACATAGTGTTTCCGGATAACTCTTCCTATAGTGAACAACAGACCTATGTGCTCCCATGCTCAATTTTGTGTATTTTAAAATAACACTTTGCATATGCAGGGGCATCATTTGTGTTAATATCTCCAAGAAAGTTCTACATTGACTTTGTTATAATACAGTTACTTCAGAGTGGAGTGCTGGGGCATCACTTTGTCTAGTTTATGATTGAGTTTCACAGGTTGACTCGTGGTAAATCTGGGTAAACAACGACAAAAAAAAAAATGGTTCTTACTGTAAGATAATAACATAAGTATTGTGACATAGGAAACCTAAGGGAAAGTGCAGGAATTTGAAAGTATTCTATAAAATCTAATATAGAATACTTCAGAGAATTTCTTATAAATTAATTTTGGCTTACATTAAATGGAAAATTATTCAATTTGTGTAGGAAGAAGACATAGATGCAGCCTTGTGCAACCAGTTCAATGTAAAGGAGACTAGACATTTAGGTTATGGGAAGATAACCAATCTGATGACAGCATCAAAGAAACCAGGTCAACATCAATATCATGAACACTCCTTGGTGTTTGAAGTTGCCATGGGAACTGATGTCAGGTATTGCTATATAAGAAAATTCAAATTTGCTGCTTTATATACATTGTTTTAAGTCATTCTCAACAGTCCTTTCATCATTCTGAAATCAAACAATTGCGATAACTTTATTTCTTATGACTGCAGAGTGGAGAAATATAGTTTTGCACAAGATTTGGTGGTAGAATCTGTTTCTCTAATGATTTTTAGAAGATATACATCTATTGTTTCCAACGATCTTCAAAAAGATGTGTTCTTTTGGATGTAAAGTCATCAGACATGGTTGTCTTTTTTCGTGACGTTACAATAGGAAACTCAGAGAGAAGCAAGAAAATTTTACGTTATAATTGAATTTTGACCAATGAAGAACTGATATCAAACAAACCACACATTGATTTATAAAAATAATCAACAGGTCAGATAAAGGATAAATCGTCTAAGAATTAGAGAAATTACTTAATCCTTAAGGGTGTACTTAGGTGATCTAAGGTAAAACTAAATAAATCAAGAATTCAAAATTGATAATTTAAGCTGGAAGAGTATTAGTTAAGGATCAAATTAAGCTAAAAATAATGATAGGTCATGGAGCTCCTTTTCTAGATATTTGATTTATAAAATATGGCGGGAAAAGGCTAACTCAGACTTTTACCTTATATTTGCATTGGTATTATTTGGGTCTCAAATCAAAAGAAAGAAAATCAAGAATCTGCTTAAATTTTGTCAAATGACCTTTTATGAGCTATCAAGTCTTATGTTAAAAAATAAATGGGGCAAAATATTTTACCTTGTATCGTATGGAAAAACACCAAGGAGTCCGAACATTTGACACTTATTCCAAAACCTCACCTAAGTACATCCTTAAGATATGCTGCTTCATACATATACCATGTATACTGAGAGCAAATAAAAGATTATTTATTTTTAGGATACACATTGATTCTTTCATGATATTTTCAGAATAAAGACAGAATCAAAGATAGGAATGTTAGGTCATCAAACCAGAGAAGCTGCCCTTGCCTGCCTACATAATTGCCCACTATTAGAAGATATGGAGATATGGAGCCACTGGTCTCTTGTATTTGAACCAGAACTAGGCAAACTGAAAGAATTTATCCAGAAATATGGAGGAACAAATACTATTCCCGTTGATGGTCAGTCATATACAGAAAATAGGATTAGATAAATAAAGCAGAATTTAGGATATATTAAATACTGTAAACCAACTAATATATGCGATTTATTTTAGTGACATACGAGAGTAGAAAAAAAAACAGAGAAATAAATCGTCCTGAATATGTAAAACTTGGATTTTTCCTCATTTAACTATACTACAATCAAAACCTAAGTAACTTCATACTGAATAAACAACTTCATACAATCAACAGCAAAATGTGAATCTAGCTTCATACAATGAACTACTAAATCTGAAATCTTCAACTCCATACAATCATTAACTAAATTTGAAATCTTTGACTTCATGCAATCAACAACTAAAATCAACCTGCATTTGAATATATATGCAAAATTGATTGATTAAAATTGAGAATGGAAATGGAGAATATGTCAAAGAGAGTACAACCCCACCAAAGAGCAGAAAACAGCCGAAGGCCACCAATGGGTCTATTGATTTTTGAAAAAATAAAATAACAAACATTTTTGTTGATAAATGATCTTGAGGTGTTAAAAATATTCTTTTTGATGATTTGTGTGACTAATTGATTGAACTAGAAAAAACTGATAAATTTCGGTCCTAATGTGCATAACACATTGATAGACAACAGTTTAATATGTTTTAGGTGGTAAAAGGTCATTTACATACCATATCATTGCCATGGAAACATCACCAGGAGTTTTACTGAAGTTGACCAGCCAAACTTCTACTGAATTGTTTGAGGAGGCCCTGATGCAAAAGAACCCCAGAAATGTTTGTGGACAATTGATGTCTCTAATTGTGTCAAATAAAGGCATGAAGAATATACCTCTGGCTCTGATAACAAATCAGATGAAATCTCAGTTGTTTACCATGCATGCTGCTGATACTAATGACAGTCTACCTGGTAGGTTATTTAAACAATATTTTGATTGTACTATTTTACCTTTTCAAGATTAAACCATCAATCATGTGATGAACCAAAATCTAAAATTGGTTACTTTTTTGTAAGATGAGGGTGCCATAAATTTAGCTAAAATGTTTAGAATTTTAGTTCAAGATTGAAAAAGTGTTTTATTCAAGTTTGAATTTATTTTAGATAGACAATACAGCTGCTACATTTGAGATAACATAGGAATCATATCTTTTTATTGCTTTTCCTAATTCATGTAAAATTCCAGAAATGTGATTTTTCTGGCGAGAGTCAAAATCTTCCGATTTTTAAGCTAACATTCGTCCCTCCCCTTACTAATTTAAATCTTCTGTGTTTTCAAAATTTCAACCCCAAAAAATTTGCCAGTCTTTATTTTTTATTAACCATTGATGTCCACATTAATTATGTTTTTGTGTCACTGATAAAGGTATTTTTTACCTGTAAATCAAAGAACTTGTATGATTATATGGCTTCACTTGACAGTTTGGGTGTCAAATATCCTATTAATTACCAATTTTTACCTCAGGCTAACTGCTGTAATGTAATAAAAACTTTGTGTATTTAAAAACACTTAAAAGAAATTTGGGTTACTTCCCTTGTTTAATCATGTTTTAGGTTACCCGCTTTAAAATAATGAAAATTGATAAAAGAATATACATGAAATACAAATTGAACAAAGAATCATATAAGGATGGTAATTTAATGATTTTTTTAAAATGTCTAGAACAAATAAAAAAATAATATTTTGAAAATCATATAAGAGATCTATACAGTTGACTCCACTTAATCACATTCTGCTTAATTGCATGATTTTCTCCTGCACAAAACCATTTCCCATTCATCTAATGTTAAACCATATTTAACTGCATAGCCTACAAAGGAGCCTTTTGGTGAATTGCATAGAAAATAAGCTATATATGCTTAGTTAAAACTGACGAGATTTTTTACCAGAAACGGCAATTTGGTAAGCCTTCCCATTGGTAATGCCAGTCTCTTGACCAAATAAGGACTGTTGTCCGAGGGCAGACCAGCACAGCGGCAATCCAACACCAGTCTGGCATGTAAAGATAATTATTGATCAATACTCCCCTATGATGCAACGGCAGAGTTAATTTTATTTTGATTAATAATATATTTAAAATAAATACCCCCATTATAATTTTCATTATTTCATATTCACTTTTGCGTTGTTTAAATAAAGTTTTAAAACAGTTTCTTTCGTGTTTATATGATGGGATATTGATTAATAACCCTTGATGTGTACACAGGTAAAGTTTCCTTTGTTCTATTTTAAGTGTCAAGGTTAAAAATGTCAAACAGGAAATTGTTGTAAAAACATGTCCAGTCTCTCTCAAAAGGTATTAATTATTGATTGTATTTCATACATTGTCCATAGATTAAATTTGGGATAAATTTTTAAACAGTGATGCCTGCTCATTCATGTTGAAAAACAATCCGATGTGTATACTCGTAATTCGGCTTGGGGAGATTTGCATTCATGTTTAACATTACCATGATTACAGGGCATTTATATATAGTTGAAGAATTTTGTACGTCAAACATTTATTTTTTGTAATTTTGGAAAAGAGTATTTACTTCTAATTATTATATTTTCTCACATTCAACACTTGTGTCTGGAAATAACCCGTAAAGGGCCCCAAACTGCTTTGCATATATGAAACTAAAGAGGTTTAGTGTTACATCACTGGGCAAGCGGTAAATACTGCATATCTAAGGCACTTCATTACACATTTATTGTTAAAAAAGATAATAAACTGTGAAGCATTGTTAAACAGTTTATTTTAACCAAAGCGTAATAATGTACATTGCACATACGGGTCATGGAAACAAATCTATTTTTTTAGAACAATTGGTTCTATTTTTATATTCCAGGAAAAGGAAACAATGGAACTGTACATGTGTATAAATAAACTAAAACAAAATGTGTTTATAAACTTTATTGAGAGTATTATAAGACAATAAATCATCATTCAATACGTTGCAAGTGGATTACGGCCGTTCATCTTTCTTCAGGGATTTCCTTTACTGATCTTTACTATCGATGTTATTTGACTCCGTAATTTGGCATTTTGGATATAAGCGTACTCCACTTAATTGCATAATTTTGTCTGACAAATAGGCTATGCAAATACTGTACATCTTTTCAATGATTAAATTGAAATTTATAAGACATGTATTGTCAGACCTTATTGAAAGCTTGGGGAAATGTTTACCGGTATGCTAAATCTGGATAAACGAACAACAAGCTAGAAAAATGGAATAAGTTACTTTAAAACACATCAATAATGATTGGATGTTGAAACTAAGAATCAGATATTAATAAAGATGAGTAAAGAAAAAAATCACAGACAAGTAGTACAGCTTAATGTTGAAAAATATTTCACATTGTAACAATACAGAGACAATTTATTAAAAGTAATACTGTTATCTTAAAAAAAGGGGAAATATGTAGCTTTATCATCAAAATGAACACTGAAAACGTCGATAAATATGTTCGATAAAAAATCTCCAGTTTTAAGCTCCAAACTCCAGCTGAAAATGTTCAAATCTCCAGTTGTGACTTGACAACTCTGTCACATGTTTGAAATTCAAAAACAACGCATTTACTTTTTTTCTTTACTTTAGGAACACCACCATCATGGCAACCATACAGATAACATAGCCTGTTTTGTCCAGGTTGTAGTGATAAACATTGATTTTTTTCTTTATTTTAGGAGCACCACCATCAGACAACCATACAGATGAAGCTGTTCAGTTTGTTCTGCAATGTCTGGTTATTTTGCCTGTCAAAACCTGTGTGTCATTAGCCAATCAGGTATAAACATGTATTAAAATGTTTTTAAGATATTGTATTTCTTTATTTGGCTTACATTTAAAATCAAAGAAATGTGAGAGGGATGTCACCTACACAATTTTTCATTTTTAATGAAACAAAAATTATATACTGGATGTTGGTCAGCTAATTTTTCTGTAATTTTTCTTGTGTATATTTCTCTTTTTTTTGGAACTACAAAGAAAAATTAATCAGAAAGCTTGTCAATGGCATGTGCAGCATTTACTGGCAATACTGAGCTAGATGATACATTGGGCAAATGGAAGACAAATAAACAATGAATAAGATAAAAGAAAATAAATCAGATTTGTCTTCTGCCATTACATTGCCATATTGTGCATCACATATTCATCATTGCATAAAATTCCAGGTGAAATAACTGGTCCTTGAAAGTCAGTAAAATAAACTTGTATTGACAAAAACCCTGCATATTAAATGAATTTATCCTAAATTTTTTTTTTTTTAGAGATTGATTTTTTTTTTGTCTATTTCAGATATTTTTAGAGCCATTAGGACAGGTGGTAGGATCATCTAAATCCAAGTTTTTATTGTTATCTGCATGTCAGACAGCAGACGACACTAACAGACTACAGGAACTAGGATGTATGTTGGGGGTAGGAGAATGGACGAGTCAGATACAACAGAAATGTCAGATAATGATGACAGATGTAGAAATCGTACCAGAGGAGGAGGCTGAGATGATTGTTTTGGACAACAATGAAGTAGAGGTTTGTAACGAGATAGGTTAATGGTAACGTAAAATGACTGGTCAGCAGATATTCTGCAATCCTTTGGGAATTCATTTCTACTCTACAAAGAAACTGTTTTATAACTGCTATTGTGATATCAATGTACACTGGTTGTCAAAACCCCATGCATTCAATGTTCTACGTAGATGCTATGATATTTTCATTTTCAAATTTGAATTCAATCTACCTTAACATCAATGGCATTGAAAAACATTTTTTTAAATATTTTAAAGGGGCATCAACTGTCAGATTTATATTCACCAGTTTGACTAAAATTCTCATATTTTATTTATAACACAAAAATGAATATCCAAATTACAAAAAAGTCCAACAAAAGAACCGGTTAATTAACAATGCATGGGCTCTCTATAATGTATCACCATTTCTTTGTATTTAAGCCAGACACCATCTAATTATCCATCAAGATGACCTCCAAAGACTACCAACTGTCATATAACCTGATACAAACATAAATATAAATATGAATATAAATAGATATCAAGCACGCTTGCAATCAGATTTTTCTAGGTCTGTTTGATTTCATTTTATAGGTTAAAAAAAAATATGTACATCATCGTTTTACCTGCAGTATAAGAAGGATTTTTGTAGGCCAGATCAGTCAACGAAACGCATATTCCTGGTGGCTCCCTTGTTTCAGTTTTCGATGTTGACATTCTTTTTGTTTTAATGAATAAACACATATGCACCATCTCCACCAAAGGTCAGATTAAAAGGTAGCATGAAAAAGGATTCAAATTAGTTGAATTATTGACTTGCAAGTCAACAATAACACAGAGATATTTTTTAGCTTATTTTGAGGAAATTGAACCAAACTGACTGCTGATAGCAAAACATTATTCCTATATTACATACAATAAAAATTAGATATATTAATGCTTTGTTAATTTAAGATTATTGAGCAACCAATGACATTAACAGACAGCCAATTTATTTTGAGTAAATTTGATCTTTTAAAAGGAAGATGAAGAAGAATTCGAGACAGCATCAGTGAGCTCTGATCTCAGTGAAATCCTGTTAGAAGGAGACATTGACAAAAAAAATGACAAATCTACAGATAAAACATCATTGACAGGTGATGAGGTGTCAGGTAATGTCATTACTTAGACTTTGCAGGACGTTTTCCCATCTTTTGTAGATATTTTGAATCATTAGAAAAATACACAATTACAGTTTGTATCATTAAATCAAACTGAAGGGACCAAATTCAAAATTTTTAATACATGTTGGTATCTAAAAAAGAGAGACGAAAGATACCAAAGTGACATGCAAACTCATAAGTCGAAAACAAACTGACAGTGCCATGGCAAAAAAAAAACGAAAAAATGATGTAAAGATAAACAACAGTACACAAAACACAACATAGAAAACTAAAGACTGAGCAACTGAATTAACTATGAATGAATTATTATACAAATTTGTTTGTTGAACTAATACACTTGAATATATGTATTTAGGTAGTTGACATTGTTTTGTTTTTTGTTATAATTAGAATTCATAAGTGAGACAATAACACTAACAACCAAGGAAAAGGAAGATTCAGCAGAAGAAATTAGTGATTTGAAGGATATGGAAATTAAGATTGATGAAGAAATCCAATCTGAACTATTTATAAATGTCTGTGAAAAAGCTGTAAATACTATTCGTAGAGAAGAGTTTGGAATCGGTATAGAATTAAATGAAGATGGACAAAGATTGAAAATAGTTCAAGATGAGAGACTTGGTAGAAGTTTGGATCGTCTGTCAAAAGATTTGTACAGTAAAGATACTCACTTTGTGCTGGAATTGATACAGAATGCAGACGACAATGATTACCCAGAATTCCTAGCTAGAAATGGACAGATGGCTTCTGTAAAGTTTATTATGCAGACAGATGGAGTGATTGTTCTCAACAATGAGAGTGGATTTTTAGAGAAAAATATCAAAGCACTTTGTGATGTAGGAAGAAGTACAAAAGGAAAGCACAAATTTGGATATATAGGTATACATTTAGCTATCTTGTGCCACAAAAACTACCTTTAGTTTCTTAGGCACTGCCCTAAAATCACACTTCACTTGTCCACTCAAACTTATCAATGTTGGGTAAAACATTATAACATCCCTAATAAGTCTGGGTCAAAGTTCTTAAGGTCAGATGAATCACTTTACTTCACACAGCCTTGGTATATACAGAATGATGAGCTAAGTAATACAGACGCAGGGGAGACCAATTAACAATAAATAAAATGACAGAAAAATTATCAAATTTGTCTTTTGCTGTTACATTTAATTTATACATGTTACTTTGGTAGTGGTTGTATTGCAGTGAGATGTGATTGTTTGCTCTGTGAAGGTCTCATTGTGACACTTGGCAGAAGAGCAGAGAATAAAAGCTCTTCGTATGCTCTACTAGTATGGGTTTAGTCTAGTGAGTGTAGAGATTTTGTGTCATGAATTAATATACAATATCCTTTCTTTTCCTTTATTTTACTATATGAAAGCCAATGATAAAACCTTTTTACATATTCAGTAGAAGCTTGGTCATATTATCTATTATCTCTTTTGCAGGTCAAAAGGGTATAGGGTTCAAGTCAGTGTTTCGTGTGACTGATAGACCAGAGGTACATTCCAATGGCTACCATATCTGCTTTGATGTACAGAGTGGACCAATGGGATACATTCTACCACACTGGATAGAAGATGAATGGAATGCATATGAAAGGTATACACATATTTATTTTTATATGCAAGTTTTTTTTTAAATATTTTATGCTAATTCAATAAGTGAAACCTTATTGCATTTTTATTTTTTTATTTTGCATCTATTATTGAATTTAAAGGTCATTATTTTATGAAAAAATCTGTTCTTAGTTCACCTGGCCTTTGATCGTAAAACTTTTCTCAGTATTTGGAGTACAAAATTTGTGCTCGAAAACACCAACTCCAGTATTTAGATTGCTTGATTTCTGAATCTGAGTACAATAATCGTACTAAAAATTTGTATAATTGTATTGCCTGGTCTACTTTGCTTTGTTGAAAAGTTCTATTCTACAGGCAGCTTCATGAATGTTCTTGTTGGCTGACTGGTTGATGTTTCCCATTACTTTTTATTACAGTTGGACAACAAAGATAGTCCTTCCCTTGAAAGAAGAGATGAAGATTCATATGAGATCATTAGCAGCCAGATTTAATGACATTCATCCATCTTTACTGCTGTTCTTACACAGATTGAGAGAAATTACTATTGATAACAAGGTTAGTTTTATTTTGGCTCAACAATCCCAAAATGTAACAATTTGTTATCATTTTATTCTCATTTTATTCTTTTATTTAAGATATGAAAAGTACATTTCGTCTAGCTGTCACTATAGGTTATTTATAGATAACTTTTCAATAATATTTGCAGTGAATTTTAAAGTTGAATTGACTTGTCAGGAATTATAATTGCAGGTAGAAAATTCCTCCCAGGTGATGAGAAGAAATGATTTAGGTAATGGTGTGATAGAAATAGAACATAATAATGGAATAGATAGATGGCTAGTTGTTAAGAAGATGTTGGATGCTTCAAAAATATCTCTCCAGGTATGGCGTAACTTTTATTAACTCACACCTGTACAAAGATATATCTAGAGGTATGGCTTCAAAAATATCTCTCCAGGTATGGCTTAACTCACACCTGTACTAAAATATCTCTCCAGGTATGTCCCTGTACACAAATATCTCTTCAGGTATAGCAAAACTTTTATAAACTCTTACCTGTACAAAAATATCTCTCCAGGTATGGCAAAACTTTTATAAACTCTTACCTGTACAAAAAAGTCTCTCCAGGTATGGCGAAACTTTTATAAACTCTTACCTGTACAAAAATATCTCTCCAGGTATGGCGAAACTTTTATAAACTCTTACCAGTACAAAAATATCTCTCCAGGTATGGCGAAACTTTTATAAACTCTTACCTGTACAAAAATATCTCAAGGTATGGTGAAACTTTTATAAACTCTTACCTATACAAAAATGTCTCTCCAGGTATGGCGAAACTTTTATAAACTCTCACCTGTACAAAACTATCTCTCCAGGTATGGCTAAACTTTTATTCACTCATCCATGTAAAAAAATATCTCTCCAGGTATGGCTAACTTTTATTAGCTCAATTCTTTTCAAAAATATCGTTTCAGGTATGGTTTAAGTTTTATTACCTCAATTATTTTCAAAAATATCTCTTCAGGTATGGCTAAACATTTATTAACTCAAACCTGTTCTAAAACATATCTCCAGGTATGTCTTGAATTTTTTATCTCACACCTGTACAAAAATATCTGTTCAAATATATAAAATGGTATTAAACCACCAAGATACATGAGAAATATTGATTTTAAGTAATGCAGCATGTATTTCTTTGTTCGTCTACTATCATACATTTCTGCTTATCCTCAAACAATATGACAACCAAGTATTTTTTTTATTGAAAATGAAAATGCTTGTAAGGTTCAAAATAAACCTAATTTTTATTTGTAGGCCAAATCTGGAGTTGAAGTGGAATCTACAGAGATATCTTTGGCGTTCCCGCTGTCAGATCAGTGTGTCTTAAGTAAGGTAAGTTGAAATAAATTTTTTATGTTACTAAGTTTTATATCTGCGTGCCAAAAGAAAATGTATGTTTGGTCAATGTTAATGCACAATTACAGTAAAAATGAAGTGGAATTTAAATCTACCGTTAAAGGACTGTAATTATGCTTTATTTTTACATTCATAACGTACATCGATTACTTTGATGTGTCTCTCCAGAACAGTTTTGTAAATATTTTTGAATGAATTACATTTAGTGGAGTGAAACACTTGACACTCAAATCACAGTAAAAAAATCAAAAATTATTTTAATATGCATTGAAAATTAAATACTTTTAATTTTTTTTAAAAGTTTTTAAATTTAAAGTTTTGTCTGAATTCTCAATAAAATGTTAGAAAGTTATTGGAATTTTTTTGCAGGTTATGCCACCTAAACAGCCTGTATTTGCCTTCCTTCCACTGAGGAGTTATGGTTTTAGATTTATTATCCAGGGTAAGTACCAAAGTACCTCATATATATCCTGTAGTGTATGTATGAAAAAAGGACACTAAGACAGCAATTAAACAACAAAAATTTGCCTACTTCCTAGTGATGACTTTTAGGTGTGGAATCCTATTAACTGTTTTCACTTACAAGAAAACATTCTCAATCATGTCAGTCATTATAAATACAGAAACTTTAATCCTAAATAAGCAAGACTATTAACATGAGCTGACATGTTTAGTCCTCTTTCTACTTTTATAACTTAAAAGTGATTTCTATTGACACTTTATAGAAATGTACGCATTTTTCATACCTCTATAGCTTTAAGACTTATATAGGCAGACACTCTTAAAATGTACTTTGAAAATGAATACATGATTATGAATTTGAATATATGATGTATGCAAAATAGTGAACAAAATAGTGAACAAAATGTGAACAAAATAATTATAAATAGCAAATTAATAGCAAGTAAAAGTGTCACTAGAGATCCTGTAGAAGGTTTGTCCTGGGAATCTGTCATATAAATATTAAAGCATTACAAAAGCTATTCCTCATAAGTATTGTATATCAAACATTTGAGTCTTTTGTGTATTTTTTCACAGCTGACTTTGATGTTCCTTCCAGTAGAGAGGATGTGGATTGTGACAGTGCATGGAATCAGTGGATTAGAAATGAAATCCACAAACTCTTTTTGGAGGCTCTGGAAGTTTTCAAGGTAAATTTTTCTACCTTATACTTAGTTGATGTTAACGTTGTATGTCTGTGAAATAATGAAGCTTATTTTTTAATGCTTTGTCACTCAGTAGATGGAGCAGATATATTCATGATTCTGTCCTTACTTCCCTTCAAACAAAATATATTTTTTGTTGTGCTTGAAAATGATGACCTGGTATCAAGTGTGTAATTGTAATAGGCTTGTCCTGCAATTTGATGTTGTACCAAATTTTTACATTATTTTGGATTGAATAAAAAACAGGGAGGAAATGCTCCTTATACCCCAACATGAATCCAAACTGCATCACACTGTTGGATAATTTGTTTCAAATAGATTTTGATGTCCTTCCAATTGTCTTACAGCCCTTGAACATACAAAATTAAAGAAAATTGTACTCGAACAAACTTTCTATGTCATTCCTGCATATGTTGAATAAATATTTGTTTTCATAAGAAGGTAATGATCATTAACAAACTAAATTTTTCTTCCATGGGACTATTTAGTGACAGAATTATGGCCCATAGAAACTGTATTTGATTTGTAAGGACTGTTTTGTTGTGGCTCTAAGGGATTATTCACACATATTTTATTCTCAGTTATTGTTTGATTTACACATACAATGTAAATGCCATATGAATTTAAGCACCAAAAAAACAAAACAAAATATGAATCCAATCAAATGAACTACATATTGCTAGTGTTTATAGTTAATTGATACTGAATCCATGCCTTGTAATGTATTGTAGGAGTAAATGATTCATCAGGTGCTTGTAAATTACAATGTTTTGTGTACAATTATTGATAAAGTATATTGTAACATATGTTTCTTGTGTCTGCTGCTTTAAATGGAGATTTAATAATTACCATACTCTTTTCAGAATCATGAAGAGTTTACTGGAATGAAGGCCCTTATAAACTTTCTACAGTTTGTTCCAGTAGAGGGTGAAATACTAGATTTCTTCAGACCTGTTTCCACACAGATTCTTAAACAACTTAGAGCTAAGCCTTGTCTACCAACTCAGCCCTACAATGGTGGTATGATTTGTCCTTATATAGTCTATAATTTTGGACTCATACATTGTTTGACATTTTTTAACACTCAAATTGCATTTATGTCCTATAAAATTTTGTTTTTAAGCATTCCTGATATAGATGTTTTCTGCTTTTGTGTCTCTTGCACACAAAGCCCTTCTAACTTATATTGGTGAAGGTTTATCCAGAAAAGGTCTTTTGAAAATATTTACTTTAATTGACTACTACTTGGTAATGCCACCTACTTTTGAGATCTGTCAAACATCTGCTTTCTGTTTGCAGATTCTTTGATATTCAAAATGTTGAATGAATACAAATATTTTCATCAATGAGTTGTAGCTTGTGAGTGCTTTTCGAAACTTTCAGACATCTACTTCCTGTTTTCTGACTCTTTGGGAGGGGCTATTTAAATCACAACAGTGCATCCAAATCCTTGTTTTCATAACCATCTCAAATCCATAATTTAATTTCATGAGTTGATTAGTTTTTTGCATGTATCTCCTAAACAGTTTATGTATAACAGATATAAATAAAAACAATATTAAATTTCAGGTGATGTATTATGGAAGTTACCAACACAGGTTGTCACAGTAAAGGACTCATTGGTCCATGAAGTTGTCACACCAGAGTTCCTACAGAAACATTTGGACCTTTTCTACCTTCACAGAGAAGTTGCAGACATGTTGAACCCTACGCTGATACAGTGTTTAGGAATAGAATCTCTAACAGTTAGCCACCTTATTCAGATAGGAAAAGCTATTACAATGTTACCTATCAATGAAGACGGTAATTATCTTCAAAAGTAATTTAGATATGTCATCTGGTAAAAATTGATTGATTACTTTATTTCTAAAAAGCATATATATATTTATAAAGATAAGAAGATGTGGTATAATTGCCAATGAGACAACTCTTCACCAGAGACCAATGATATAGAAGTTAACAATTATAGTTTACCATACAGCTTTCAAAAATGAGCAAAACCCATACTGCATAATAAGCTATAAAAGGCCCTGAAATGACAAATGTTTAACAATTCAAGTGAGAAAACTAACAGCCTGATTTATGTACAAAACACTAAACGAAAAACAAATATGATATACAGTAACTAACGACAACCCATACATGTGACAGAGTTGTCATGTGACAGAGTTGTCAAGTCACAACTGGAGATTTGAAAATTTTCAGATGGAGTTTGGGCCTAATAACTGGAGATTTATTTTTATCGACATATTTATCTCCATGTTCAGTGTTCATTTTGATATTAAAAATCTACATATTTCCCCTTTTTTTAAGATAACAGTATTACTATTAATATATTCTCTCTGTATTGTTACCATGTGAAATATTTGTCAACACTAAAGCTATACTATTTGTATGTGATTTTTTTTTCTTTCCTCATCTTTGTCATCATTAGTGTGTTTCTCAGTTCCATCATCTAATAAATGTTTATATGATTTTAAGAATTATTGCATTTTTTTCAGCTGATTTTCATTTAGCCAGATTAAGCATAAACACTCACTTAGTCACTATATAAGGTCAATACATGCCTTATAAATTTCAATTTAAGCATTGAAAAGAAGTATAGATCTCTCAAATAATTTTCAAAATAATATATTTTTATTTGTCTTATGGCATTTAAAATCATTAAATTACCATCCTTATATGATTCTTTGTTCAATTTGTATTTCATTCATATTATTTAATTCAATTTACATTATTTTAAGGAGGATAACTTAAAACATGATAAAACAAGGGAAAAAACCCAAAATTTCTTTTAAGTGTTTGCAAATACCCAAAGCTTTTATTACATAACGGCAGTTAGCCTGAGATAAAAATCGTTGATTAATAGTATGTTTGACACGCAAGCTGTCATGTGAAGCCATATAATTATACAAGTTCTTTGATTTACAGGTAAAAATTACCTTTCAGTGACACAAAATCGTAATTAATGTTGACATCGATGGTAATAAAAAGTAGAGACTGACAAATTTTTGGGGTTTGAAATTTTGAAAAAACGGAAGATTTGAATTATTAACGGGAGTGACGGAAGAGGGCGTAAAAATTGGGAGATTTTGACTCCAGCCGGAAGAATCACATGTCTGACACCAACTAAATTACAGGCTCCTGACTTGGGACAGGCACATACAGAATGTGGTGGGGTCAAACATGTTTGCTGGTGTCAAACCATACCCCTAACCTGGGACAGTGGTAATTAACAGTACAACATAAGAACAAATTATAAAAATGAGTTGAAAAGGGCTTAACTCATCAGATTAGTACAAAGCACATAAAAACGCTAACAAAAACACAAAAGACACAGAGTACTGATGTGAGAGTACCAACAGTTACTGAAAGCTAGTTGCTTGTCTCAGCATCCATATTCCTGAAGCATTTAATCATTTATTTATGCTTGTCTGAATCTGGGACCAATATCTGAATTAAATAAATTCATGTGTTAGTCCAATTCTGAATATGTGTATTCCTAAAGATAGAAAGATATTCAGCTCCTACCTGTTAGATGCCATGTTAGCAGCTACCTCAAAAGAGTTCATTAAAAGAGATTTCTATTTTTTTGTGGGCTATTTTACCAAATTTTGTAAAGGTTTGGTTGTTTTTTTGTTACATCCTGTTTATTATCTCCCCTTTCATTTTAACCATTTGTGTAAGAGTTATCTCCTCTGTAAAATATCCTTTTCTTTGATTCATACTATAAGTCAATAATTGAGTACATGTCTTTAATATTACTCTAAGAATAGGATAAAAAAAAATTATGGATTTCAAAGAAACAGTAATAAATTCTCATTTTTCAATAAAAGAATGCACTTGTGAATATGATTGTAAAGTTAAAAAAAAATATGATTTTTTAAAAATGTGCATAATCAATAAACTACAGAATTTTGAAGTGAATCAAAGAATCAGAAATGAATAATTGCTAATTTTGAGCTTAAAGAATACATTGATTGTTAGGGACTATAACTTGTGGACCAGTTTCATTCTTACTTATATGAAAGATAGCTCCAATTATGATTTTAGACTAAAGTATCATAGTATTGTGTTTTTCTCTTTATGAAGATTTCAATACCAGGATATGTGTAATAGCCAAATGGTTAGCCTGTGTGTATCGTAGCTTAGATGAATTTCATGACAACCAGGAGATTTACAGTGAACTAAAGAAGATGAATATCATACCTCTAGCTTCACAAGTCTATGTATCATTGGAGGATAATACTATCTTCTTTCCTCTGTCTCTGGAAGAGATGGCAAGATCACATAAGTACAGAGGTATGCAAGTAATCGTTCAATATTAAATTTTAAGGTATTACATTGTATATTGTATTTTTTATTATTCTTTTTACCTGCAACACCGAGGGAGAAAGCATGTCTAGTAACTGCTTGACTCCATCCATTGGAAAGACCTTGTGTAGGAAACTTTTGTCAAAGTTTTCTTGGTTTCTATGAAAGGGAATGAATAATATTTGGTCAGTAGCTTGATAATGTTGAGTTATAGCAAGTAAGCAATTTTACATCCACCATGCAACCTCTTCCTGTTTGTCAATAGTTTGAAATTTTACAGCACTATTTGTACATGGAAAATTTTTCTTGGCTCGAACAGAAGGAAATAAGTTTATTTTTTGTCTGCAGCTTGATTATGTTCAGTTAGCAATTTCCACATCTGCCAGGCATCCACTTCCTGTTAGCTGATATTTTGAAATTTTACAACACTCATTGTACAAGTAAGATTTTTCATCACATTTGTTTTGCCTTAAATGAAAAGAAATGATCAGTAATGCTTCAGTATACATGTTACCTAAATCAATTGCATGCAGTAACGCAGGTCCAAACCTGGTATTGGTCTTGTTAAATCTTAAATTGGTCTTGGGTCTGTGCAAACTATATATCACATAAAACAATAGTAAAAGACTATTAACTTTAACTACTCCTTGGAAGATTTAAAGAAAATTTTGTTATCCTGATTTTTATGGGAATATCAATATGGAATAACATATAAAAGATTTTGTGTCTGGCTTGTACAATGGATTTAATGAACAATGAAATGTTCACTAAAGGGTAAACTTCATGGTTCTTCCACAAAAATAAGACACATGCAAAATTCTCCATATGTACAGTGTTGTGTAAATGAATAATTCATGCAGCTTATAACCTTTAGATCCAGTTATGCTGGTTTAAAATAGTATAATATACTTTTTTGTAGATCCAATATCTTATCTACAAGAAGACATGAAAACCGTCCATCCATTGTTTCTGGCAGCTCCTGACAATGAGGTCAACTCACAGGTTCAGAAAATGTTGGTAAAACTGGATGTCTGTCAGTTAACACCAAATGATGTTATCAACCACCATATACTTCCTGTGTTAAAGTCAGATATGTGGAAGGTAAGTCCTTAGAGGAGAATTGTTCTTGCTTGTAAGTACATGTACCAGTTCTTATTTTATGCTGCATGCAAACAAAGTTTTAGGGATATATAGGAATGCCTCTGTTCAACCATATGTCTGCATGTCCATGTGCCTTGTAAGCACAATGCCTTGTAAAGGATTTGGCAGGTATTGATAAAATTTTACATAGTTGTAGAACACTACTTGAATATAAGCTTCCAAGAAATTTGTTCCTGGTCCTACATGTTAAAGGGGAGATAATCAAACTTAATTACAAAAATGTACTTCAATATTGCAATATGCAGTAATAGTACAGTCAAATCTGCCTTAATGGTCACCTGCCTCTAAAGATCACTTTCACACCCTCCCAAACGTTTTCTCTATATAATTTAACTCAAAACAGCAGTCACCTGTCTAAGGCAGTCAGTGGTCACCTATTTGTTGCCCGAAATATTCATTTCGAGTTTTAACAACGTTCATTTTAATGTTTTTAACTACCAAAATAATCATGCTGAAAAATATATGTGTTCAGTTTCGAAGTCAAAATGAAAATCCGAACCCATTTGCAACCGATATGCAACCGAGGTGAATGTGTGAATACCTCGTGTTCCACTCCTTTCTGTGTCCATTGAAAACCATATCACCGATGTATTTCTCTACGAAATTAATATATTTTGAATACTTTCTGCAAATTTACAGCGCCAGAATCTGCCATTTTTTTTTATTTCATTGACACAAGAACCATAACTCTATCGATTGAAAAGACTCAAACAATTTGGTCCGATCCTGACCATAGGCGATCTCGGATTCAAATTTGTTTCGGAACCTCATTTCAAAGTTCACCATCTCTTGAGCGGTCACTATTGATACTACCCAAGAGTGACTGCTTGATACAGATTTGACTGTCTCATAATTATGTACATCTCTTCCCAAATTGCTAGATGGATATTGATGAAACTTTATTTTAAAGTTGTAGAACACTAACTGAGGATGTGTATAAAGCAATATAATCTTAGTCAAGCATGTTAAAAGGGAGATAATCAAAGTTTGGGGTGGGGGTATCCTTTTGTGAGTTCTTGCTTGTGAGACATATTTAATTTACTCTTGTTCTTCCACATGCATGCCCCTTTTTCCATGTGTTTAATTCAAATTCTCAGAATGCATGTTATAAACATGAATGACATTTCACCACTACAGTCATCTCAAGTTGTTTATTGAATTTCCCATATCAAACAAAAATATATTAGTCTCTAAAGTAGGAAAAAAATATACCCCCAACTCCCCCAAAACGAAAAAAATAAAATAAAACACTTCAATAAAAGAGGATAAACCAATGTTTTTTTTTCAAATCAATTGTAATGTATATGAATAATTTGCAGTCCATCTGGTTTCCTCAGAAATTAAAAATCCATTTTTTTTATTCTGTTATAGGTTAAAAACAGGGAAACATTGATTAGCTATCTGGTTTATATTAAAGAACAGACAGAAAAGAACAGCTCATTGGTCAATATGGATGAGTTAGCTAATATTGCCATAGTGATGACCAATCAGGGTGAAAAGAATCCTAAAAAAGACAATGTTCATTTCACACCTGTATATGGAAACAAATATAATTTGATGCAAATTTTTCCAGGTAATATTTACATATTTATACATACACTTTTTGAAGAAAACTTGTAATCAGTTACTCAAATTGAATTAGTTAAATTTTACTAATTGTCTAAAACACATAACCTTACTACTAGCTTTTGGTGATAAAAGATATGTACAGATACTTTCATGGTTCTCTTCCAACATTGAAAATCCAAGGTGACTATAACTACAGATTATATATAGAATAATGGCATTTTTGTTTTTGATACTGGCTTTATCAGCAAGAATATCATGTGATCCCGCTAGGGCGAGCTGAAATTTGAGCTAATGAAGTCAGTATCAAAAAATAAAATGCTATCATTCTTTTTATCGGCAATTTGTCCTAAATGAATGTTTTTTTTTTTTGTTGAGAATATGAAATAAAATGAAATAATTAGTAAAACTACTTTTAGGCATACGAAATGTCGGGATAGTTGTTCGGTTGTATGAATGAAGTCGCGTGCATTTCATCAATAAATTGCACGTGAAGTTGCTACGCTGATACATGACGTCATTGCCTAATATTTTCCAGTATCAAGTCCTGTCCATGGTAAAAAAATATTAGGCAGCAAGATCAAAGGGAAAATGTACAAATTGCTGATAAAAGATAAGATTAAGAGGATATACATGTAAAACAGAATTTTTTACACTATTAGACTATTTAAGTTTGTTTATTACTCACATTCACTAAAAAAATTTCTAACTCTCTAGAATTTTTCCTATAAAAAGGCATACTTTTATACTTCCAGCAAATCATGTATTTTTGATGTTTTACATGTCTATCCTTGTCAATTTTTCAATGAAAGGCATGTGACATCATTCATAAAACAGAAATCGTTTTTTACAGATACAATGAGTTTTTTTTAACTACTTGCATTAGTCTTCATATTCTACCCAAAGAAATATAATAATTTGACAAATTGCAAATAAAAAAAATACTGACATTTAATTTTTTATCCTTACATCATCAGCTGGTCCTCATTTAAAATTGTTTGTTTTAACAGGTTAGTAACAGGGAAGTGATATTGTAACTGGTACTATACCATATATTGGAATTTATTTCAGGATATGATTGGTGTTTGTTAGACAGTGTATACATACAGGACCAGAGCAGTAACACAGAGAAACAAAAATGGCACAAATTTTTCTGCAGACTTGGCATCACTGATTTCATCACAGTTAGACCTGTACAGGTGGAATTGGATTCTGAATCAGTGGTATGTGTTTTTCTTTTTTATTCAGTCTGCAAAATTTATTTTGCGAAAGCTAGACATAGCGATCCTAGATTTCTTAGACGGCGTTGTCAACATTTAAGTTCAGTCTAAGGTTAAAGTTTTTTTGGACATCAATTACTTTGTCAAACCTAACTGGAATTTTCTGAAATTGGGACAGAAGCTTGTTTATGACCAAAATACAATACAGTATCAAGGACAGAATTTTGGAAATATTTATTTTCATTTTTCCGTATTTTACTGATAAATGGACTTAGGTTTTTTTTACAGTTAACTTCAGATTTTGTCTGAGGTTAAAGTTTTTCAGTCATCAATAAATTTGTCAAACCTTCATGGAATTTTATAAAATTTGGACAGAAGCTTGTTTATGACCAAAAGACAGTATCCAGAGCAAAGTTTTGAAAATATTTATTTTTATTTTTCCGTATTTTACTAATAAATAGACTTTTTTTTTTACAGTTAACTTCAGATTTTGTCTGAGGTTTTTTTTGGCATAGAATGTTTTTAATGAATTTAAGTGAACACATACAAACAGCAGACCTAACTTTGGACAACTTATTTATCTTATAATGTGTTCAGTTTTATATTTCTGTTTAGATATAAATGAAGAGATTTTTTGGTAACTATATGCTTACTCAGTACACTGAATGACTAGCTCATTTTTTATCGAATTCCATTCCAGAAAGAAAGTGCCTGGTCCTCTTTAGAACAGTTGTATCCTGAAGACTTCAGCCAGGGTTGTGTTATAGAAGATTACAGCTGTGATGAAATCAGGGATCTATTGAAATCCAACACGTGTCCTCAACATTACAAACAACAGATGAAATCCCTTTGTGAATACCTAGATCAGGTCTGGGATACACAATTTGTTAGATACACAAAAACAAAACTAATCAGAAAGGATAACAAACAAGAGAGGGATGTTGAATCGTCCTTCTGTATCTGGTTGAAAACTTGTGACTGGTTACCTGCCATTGAAGTGAAGGCAGAAGTGGGAAATAATGGTGCCATTAAGTATTCAGAAGAAGTTTGCTGTCAGAAGCCTTGCACATTATATTATCCATTTGAAAAGATTGTAAAGTTGCTTCATTACACTGTGACATATGTTGATGGGCCGTTCAATACAGATAAAAATTCATTTGCAAACTTTTTGGGTTTGAAATCTGATGTATCGTTAGAGGATCTAATCAGTAGTTTGAAAAAATGGGGTCAAAGGTCTGATGGTAGTATTCCAACATTATTTGTAACTTCACAAAGCCATATAGAATATTTGTACAACTACCTTGGGGATAATCTAAACAAGAAGCAGATTCAGGACCTATTAGACAAGGAACCAGTCATATTTGTTCCTGTGAAGACAAAAAGTTATGACAGAGGAGATCCTAGTAAACAAAGATTTAATGTCAATGTTGCTGGTCAGATGCTTAGCCGACAGGAAGTTTGGTGGGAAGACAAAACAGAACTGTTCCAGAAATATCAGGATATTCTAACAGAGATTCATGCTGATATTGGCATTAAGAAGATTCTCTCTAGGTTTATGAATTATTCTAAGTCACCTAGTCTGAGAGAATTTTTCAGGACTGGAAAAATTCAAACCTGTCCAGATGTTGGAGAATATTCTGAACTACTTGTTCATGTTGCTAGTTCACAGAATCGGGTGGAATCAGAGACATTACATGATGTCATGAAAATATTGTCTATTATAGGAGATTTAATGTATATTGATGAAAATGATCTAGAAATAGAAACCAAGAAAATGTTTTATGAAATTCAAAAGAAGAAAATGTTGAGTCATTTCAAAGGGCAGAATATCATTCCAACAAAAAGAAAGACATGGACATCAATTGAGAAAAATCCTCTTATTGCTGACAACAATGAATATGAACATATCTTTAAGAATGACGACAATGTTCATTTTGTTCTGATGGAGGAAAATGAACATCGTAGAGGGCAGCACAATGTTAGAGCTTCAGGTAAGCTATAATCTTGCTCAAATATATAAGAAATCAACTAAATAAATGTCAAAAATTTAATTTTCCACCTTATAAAACACAGCAGTTGGTTAACAAAATTCACTATATAATTTTTAGCTATAAATAAATTTTCAAAGAATAGTTTGTACTTATTTTTTCACTGAATGCCAGACATAGGTATTACAATCTGATGTCGACTGTGTCAAGTATTTGTATAAAAGTTTGCATTTCAGAAGGTAGAAGACATGAATACTTCTGCCTTGTAGGCAGAATCCTTATGTTACAAAGTTTCCGTCTGTCATATGACCATTGTCAATGACCTCATTTTCATGGTTTAGTGACTGCTTGAAAAAAAATTGAGTTTTTTTGTCATGTGAAATACTCACTCATTATGAGTAATTGAATACCTATATTTGGTGTAATGAATATTTGTTAGGGGAACATGTCTGTTTAGTGGGGTTCATCTGACCTTGAACTCATTTTCATGGTTCATTAGTCAATGTTAAGTTTTCATAGTTATTTAGGTAACAGTCTGCTTGTCAAATACTATAAGAAGTAGGTCAACTATATTTGGTGTATGGAATGATTGCATGGTGTTCATGTTGTATGTCAGGGTTCATCTGACCTTGACCTCATTTTTATGGCTCATTGGTTAATGTTCTCTTTTCATAATAAAGGTCTGTTTATCAGCTCCTATAAGCAATAGTCTACTCTATATTGGTGTATGGTTTGAAATTCAATCATCACAAGTGAAGCAGGCAAGACATTTCAGTGTGTGCAATTTTGTTTATCTATTTGTACTCTCAGATTATTTGCCATTACTTAAGAGTACTGTTATCAATTTTTTTAATTATTTATTTTCTGAAATTCATGATTCAATTACAACCTTAAATTAATGAATACTGAAAATTCATGAAAATTTGTTAAGAAAAAAATACAAAATTATTTTTATTGTATATAGCGAAAATTTTGAAAAGGGAATTACTTCTTCCACATGAATATATAAACAATAAAAATCATTAAAATATTTATCTAAGAAAATCACCTCTGACACAAAGTTAAACCTCTACAAAGTTGATACTGCAACTTCTAAAATATGTTTATGTGAATGATATTTCATGTACATCTCAAATATTTGATAGGAAATAATTTTGCTTTATTACAGTTAGGGAATCCTACCATACAAATGCTGATGCCATGATGAGAGTTCTGAGAATGTGTGATATTGAGCATCTCAGTGAGGTTGTCGAGGAACAGATCATTCCCAGCGGGTACAAACTCTCCCCACGTTTACAAAACTACATGATAAAGTGTGTACCACTGGTGCAAGTATTCCTGTTTAATAACCATAGAAATACCTATCAAAGTTTGATTGACGAAGGCATGGTAGACACACTTTCCAGACTGAATTGTATCGAGGTAAATAAAATATGCAAACTGATTGTTTAAAGAATGGATTAAAAACATCGGTTGCTATAAAAAGAATCTTAAACCAATTTAAAAAAAAGTTTTGAAATTGCAATTTCTTTATATTTACAAAATTGTATCTTATCAAATCATGAAAAGCACTACAACTATACCCTTATGGTCATTGAGCTGTATATATTTGTTACTCTAAAGTTTGATAAGCTGTGGCCAATTTCACCTACTTTAACTTACTTTGTGTTCAGATCATCCATTATGTGAAGACATTTAAATTTTCAAATGAAGAAACTAATCTTTGAAGTTTAATAGTCAAACTATGAAAAGTCAAATCGTCTGAGTTCATTGCAGTGTTGAAAAATTTGTTCATGGCATTTCAATAGCTACCAGCGAACAATATGGAAATTTGATATAATTTCATCCAAAGAGTGTAGAACAAGCTACTGTAAATTCAGAAATTATTGTGATTTTTGAAGAATGAACAAAAATGCGAGATTAATTATTGCGATTTCAGGAAACTCTGCATACAGATATATGTATAAGGTATCAGAATGCAAGTTCTTGTTATTGCGATACTCACCGTGTCGCATTATTCTCATTAATAAAAACCTCACAATTATTTCTGAATTTACAGTAATTAGATTTTGTTTATTACAAGGTACATATTTTTTATTTCAAGATCAATTGACCTGAACCTTATTATCAATTCAATGAAATTGACAGTGTGAATTTCTTTTGTTTCTAATATATTACACTGTCTAAAAAAAAGGATGGCTTTGTTTTCAAGATGCTTTCTTTATTTCAGACTGACAAACTTGAAGTGAAATACTGGTTTAAGAATGACCCAGATATCTTTAAATTAAAGGAAGAAAATTGCAAACTGAACAAAGAGGAATTTTTTTTTCAAAAACGACGTGAGGAATCCTACAACTTTGTTGATATAAACAAAGCCATAGCAAAAGTCTTTAGTAACAATGACCGTGTATGTTTCAATGATTTAAGGTAAATGTTGCAATGTTATTATACATGTATTGTGAAAAAGCACAAGGCAATGGTACTAATTTTTGTCTTCCTTTGACGAGTCAAAAAAGCAAGACTTAGGTGTGCTGTTTCTGATTTTAGGGAAACCATTAGTGCTAGGTCAATGGTATTTAGTCTGTAAATATGAAACATATCTTTGTGTCAAAAGTATTCTAGTGAGTCTTTTATTTAGACAGTTTGGCCAACTCAAACAAAATAAATTCTAGGTAAAAATTATTAATGAAGAGAATCCAATTGTAGCTTGGCTTTTTAAAGTTAGAGCTTCAGGACTCCAAATAACCCCCCTGAGACATCCTGGCTAAAGGCTAAGGGCTAAGGGCTATGGATTATTTAGGACTTTTTTATGCTAATAATGACTTGTGGACTGCAATAGACATGATTAAAATTGAAATTCTTTTGATGACACAAACTTTGTATTTCCTAGGAATCAACCATGATAATTGAGTCTAAGACAATAAATGGAGACTTGAAATTTAAATATGATTATGAATTATGAATGAAATCTGATTTACGAAACCACATTTCTTTTGACTATATCAAGTAGCAGTAAATCATTGTATTTTATAGTTCATACTGGTAAAAGTGTTTTAACATAACTGATAATTGTTATACGGGTGATATTTGTTATCAAATTATCACCTGACTTGTGATTAAGGATCTAATCTTGTACAATAGTTCAAAATAGGGAAACACCTAAATGCATGTGTATTGCTGAGGGTAGGAATACCCTTACTGTCAGGCGTCAAACGGTCATTTTTGGCTACCGTTAGCGTCAAATTGGTTAAAATTTTACCATGATTCGTCAAAATATCCTTATCGTGATTCATCAGAGGTCTCAAATAATTATAGCAGCCGTTATTTTTGGAAAAAATTTAACGTGATTTGTCAAAACCAGTTGATTTTTTTATCATCTAAAAGAAAGTGTACATTTTATCGTCATGCACCAAAAATTACCGTTAACATTATTTGGCAAGAATTTTTACCGTTATTCGTCATGAAGGTACCCCCATTACGACCCTCATTGCTCTGATATAATACCTAAAAGGCAATTGCCTATTCCTGAGCTTTGATTACAGTTTGTTCTAATGTTGTGTTGTTACATCACTGTACAAGAGTAGAGGGAGGGTTTAGCATTTACAAACATGTGTAACCATGCCTAGTTATGTGCATGTTCTTAAGATCTCCTTAACCAGCATTTGTGTAAACATTTGTTTAAGAATAGGTAAACATGTACGTGTAACTTCAATATTGTACATGTAGTTATGGATTAGTATTTTCAGCAGTTAAAAATAGTTAACTTTTGATTTCAGAGATTTGCTTACGGAGATTCATAGCTGTATATTTGAAAAAACAAATGCGACACTAGAAGATTGTTTGAGCAAATATAGTGCTATTAACATGGATGACACTGAAGTGAAATGGACAGTTCCACCGTCTTTGTTACCAGATGTTGAACCAGTTGGTAAGTATTATAAAGAAGAATAATTATTTTGTATATGAAATATAGCATATGCCAAAACACATAATTAAAAGTGCCTGGTAATGATTCATAGCCTGACTGGTTTCAGACCTTCTTCAGAGGCAGAATGATGGATTAATAGTTGCAACATATTTATATAGATCCAGTATCCAGCGGATAAAAGTTAGCATAATTATTTCGTTTCAGTTATTTCTTTAGAATCTTTCAAAATTCTTAATTTTCAGGTATGAATTCCAAAATAAGAAAAAATGTGGCCTATATATCAATAAAAAAGCAACCCAATAACAAAAATATCCAACATAGAATTATACATACGGTATATGTCAAATTTTTATTGCACCAGTTCTATTTTTAGGTCCTTTTTGCCAATATAGCTCTTCAACTGTTTCGGTTCTTATACATCCTTAGTTTTCAAATATTCGGCTTTGAGCGTTCCTGATGAAGGTAAATCCAGAAAAGTGCTTTGGACACATGAAATTTGTGAAGTGTTGTTTTTTTCTATTGAACTTGTGATAAATTTAGCAGAAACAATCAAAGATCTGCCATGAACAACTCATTTTCAAAAAAGCAAAATTATTACATTTGACAACTATTGAAGAGGTTCCTGAATGGGAAAGGCACATACAAATGTGGCCCTTTTAACCTATTTAGTTTGTATTATTGACTCAAATATTTTAATCAATCCTCCAGATCACAAAGCCATAATACAAAATCTTGATTCCAGACATTATGAATGACTTCTTTTGTTATGTTAAATTTTCCATTATGATGTCAAATTTTCTTGCTATCTCTGAACTTATTTACATATTATTTTTTTATTCCAGTTCAACAAGAAGAAGATTATGTTGAAGAGGTAGACGAAGAGATCTCAGGACAGGAAGGTCTTGATAGTGCTACGACCAATGAACCTGCTCTAATGAGAGCTTGGCCACCCATGTCAGATGGCAAAAATCATCCTAAGACAAAAAGTAAAAGTTTAAAGTAGAAAAAGAAAAAGAAAAGAATTTCATTTAAAACTTAAATGTTGTTTGCAATTATTTCTTGCATATCCAAGACAAGAAAAAATTAGGCAAAGAATCATTTAGGTAGTTTCTATCAAGTGGGTTTACAAGGATGAATTAGGAATTTGAAACCTATATTACATGTAAGAACTATTGCAAGAGTTTTTGTACAGGCAGAGAGCATGGCATACTACTCTAACCATGGCATTGGATTTAACAATATGTAATAGAAGGATATGGTGTATACACTTATGACTCAAAATTGTTAAATTAATACACATGATACTTAGTAAAGAAAAGCACATGAACAGTGCTTTTTTTGCTGTATCTATTCTGAATGGGCCTAGCTGTGTATTTATAGGTTTTGCATAGCAGATAGGTCATCCCTGATCCAGAGGGTCATATTGCCAGCCCAGGTGACCATATTTCTCTACCAAAATCTGTACCATTGGGATAGAACTTTATACAAAGCTGCACAAATTCGGTTTAAGCATATTTCCTGTTGGTCAATGTAGGTCCACTTTTTATAAGCCCGTTTACGGGACGTATTATGGTATACCGTTGTCCGTCTGTCCGTCGTCAACATGACGGACATTAACTCAAAAATGCTTTAACCAATTTGCATAAAACTTTGGTGAATTGTTCATATCTATTGACGTGAGCTCCCGTTGGTTTTTTATAAATTTCAGATTTTACGTTTCCGAGTTATGAGGTTTTGTTCATTAAAAAAGGGGGATTTTCCAGTTTTCGGACAATAACTCCAAAATGCTTTCACCAATTTGCAAGAAATTTTGGTGAATTGTTTATATCTATTGACATAAGCTCCCTTTTCATTTTCATAAATTTTAGATTTTATGTTTCTGAGTTATGGGGTTTTATTCATCAAAAAAAGGGGCAGTTTACAGTTTTCGGACAATAACTCCAAAATGCATTTAGCAGTTCTCATGACACTTTGGTGAATTGTTTATATCTATTGATGTAAGCTAGCTTTCGAATTTTATAAATTTTAGATTTTACGTTTCCAAGTTATGGTGTTTTATTCATTAAAAAAGGGGGGATTTTCCAGTTTTTGGACAATTAATACCTCAAAAAATGCTTTCAGCAGTTCTCATGAAACTTTGGGGAATTGTTTAAATCAATTGACAAAAGCTTCCTTTCAATTTTCATAAATTTCTGATATGACATTGAGAAGTGATTGAACTTTATTCTTTGAAAATGCGACAGGCGTATCATGCGCTCATGGCGCAGCTGTTTATTTCATTTCCCCTGCCGAATCCCAAATCATTGAAAACATGGTACTAAATTGCAAGACATGTATATGCTTATCTGGCAGTTGAAGCAATTTCAGCACTCATAATTGTATAAGTTTTACTATGCTTATTCAGTAGGCTTTGGGGTATCACAATAGCAATGGCTAAAACAGTTTACCAAATTGCAGTTTAAATTCTTCTCCAACAAACTTATCAACTGGTAAAATATTTTAGTAACTATTTGCTTCAGTGAAAAGTTGTTAGTTTGAAGTGAGTGCAGTGAACTAAAAAGTTATACTTACAATCCAGCTCCTGTTAGTTGTTGTATATGTCATGAAATTGAAACAAAATAATGAATTACTATAATATGAGTCACTAGCCTAAATAAATTTTATAAATAATTAGTGCAAAACATTGTTTTGTAGGTCAATGATTTATAGCTTTGTTTTCTAACAACAAGTTAGTACGTAATTTTAATTTGGATATTTTTATATGCCTGTCAAAATTTTGACGGGACGTATTATGGTATACAAAAAATGTCGTCTGTCTCTCCGGCGTAAACATGTCGCACAGTAACTTGAGAACGACTTATCCAAATTTCATGAAACTTAACATAGTTGTTTCTTATGATGGTCAAACGATCTGAGTACTTTTTGGTGAAAATAAGATTAAAACTTTTTGAGTTACGGGACTTAGTAACTAAAACAGGTGTGTGTTTTTTTTCACATGTTGCGCCGTATCTCAAAAACAATTTATGATTATTGCTTAAAACTTTACACACTTCTTTATTATACTAATGCGAACCCAATGAAAGTTTTCCACAGTGCCATCTCTATCTGGTCAAGGTATTTAAACTTTTGTAAGTTCACCTGTCCTATTAAATAAATACAATAGCTATTGTTCTCTGTGTAGTTTATTCTCAGGGACCTTTAAATTTCTTCTAAGAAAAATCTATCACTCATTGATTAATTTACCGGAGTAAAAAAAAATCTTCTAAATAGACGAAAATACATGTTTTATACTCAAAACTGCATGTGATGTTGTATTTATGCAATATTAATAAGATATTTTCAATTTGTTGAATGCAAACAGTGATTCAACATTAATAAAAGTTCATTTCCGACAAAACTTTAGAATTTGTTTTTTTTTGTGTGTTTGACAAATGATGTTCAAATTAAGACCTACTTAAATGTATTCTATAACTAAACAAAAACAACAACAAAATGCAAAGGAGTAAGTTTGGTAAGGGCCAAATTTGACCCAGATTATTAAGTTCAGTGTTTCAGGATAAAATGTGTTTTAAGTTGATGAAAAGGCATGTGAGAAAGTCATATAGAACTATTTTAGCCAGAGTTTTATTTTTAAGATTTAATTTTGACATCCCAAATAGGTTAAAAATAGAGATTTTTGTAAAATTGGATAAAATCGTCCGGATTTCAACCAAATTAAGACCTAGGAAACATAGAGCGCAGGCGTCGACAAACAAAATATTCAAGTCAGATATGTAAAATGTTATAAGAAACATTAGGTTAAAATATCTTTGTTGTCGATGCATGTGCTCTATGTTTCCTCTCCAAAAAATCAACGTAAATTTACCCGTTTTCATCGAATTTTCACGGAAAATCAAAATGAGTGCTATTTGTGACGTCATGATAGAACCCAAAAACATAAATTTTCAACAAAAAAACGTTTTTCCAATCTAGTCATTTTATTACCTATGAATCCTTGTGACATTGGTCAATACATCCTAATTTCAAATTTCAGCTAGAATTAGGGGCCACTTTAGGGCCTTATCGAACCTACTCCTTTCAATGGGAACATTACTTAAACTTTTGTTAGAAATCAAATTTTTATGATTAAATCAGTGTTTATATTGAAAAGATTGATAATATATTATCAATTTTGAATAAATACATCATCACAGGCAGTTAATGAGTATAAAAAAAGGATTTTTGTCTATATATAAGAAAAAATTTTTTCACATGTCGCGCTGTATCTCAAAAACTATTTATGATTATTGCTTAAAATTTTACACACTTCTTAGTTATAATAATCTAAAGATCTGTATATTTTTTGGTTTTGATTCAAAATTTTATTTTAGAGATATTGAGTTTTTTGTAAAAAAAAAAAGGGGGTTTTCGCATGTCGCGCCATATGTCAGATACTATTTATGATTATTGCATAAAAATTCACACACAAGACGAAGGGCGTATCATGCGCTCATGTCACAGCTGTTTATTTTCTAAAGCAATTTACTAATCTGCTAATATTAAAGGGAAATTATTTACCTTACTGTAAAATCGGCAAAATTTTGTTCTGTCAACTATCAACTTCCTTCATTTTATAAGTAATTTGTTTGTAACATTATTTCCATGATTATTAAACTATCATCCTCTGTTCTGAAATATTTTTGAGATGATTAAAATTTTGAAAAAAAAACCCTGTTATTATGGGACACATTCAAAGTTCTATAAATAATACAGATTTCTCTGTAAATTAAGAGGGTATCACCAATCCAGTAGCTCAGCAAATCTGTGTTGACATGTATTTTTATTGATATGGTAAAAATTATAGATTAACTGTTTTGCAAAACTTTGAATTGTTCAAAATACTAATTATTTTCTAACGCCGAGGATTATATTACTTATAAGCAGTATTTAGCAAAACCTTTCGGAATTTTGTTTCCTCAGTGGTCTTCAACTTCGTACTAACTTGGCATTTCAAATTATTTTATTTGAGTCGTATTGATGAATCTTTTGTATGGAAAATCATAAGCCTGGTATCTGATTAAATTTTTGATATATATACAATGACTGAATAAAGTGATTTCCCTTTAATGCCAGCAGATTAGTAATTCTTATATAAAATATTATCCAAATCACAATTACACAATAACTTCCTCTTAGAAAACAAAGCTTTAAATAATTGACCTAAAAATCAATGTTTTGAATTATTTATAAGATTTATTTAAGATAGAAGTTTTCATGTCAAAGTTAGACCTTTTTAAACCAGAGACTCATATTATAGTAACTCTTTATTTTGTTTGACTATCTTGACATAGACAATGAATAACTGGAGTTGGATGGTAGGCAATACTTTTTAAATTCACTGAAATTACTTTAAGCAATTGTTAAAATATTTAACCAGTTGATCAGTTTGTTGAAGAATTATTCAAACTGCAATTTGGTAAACTGTTTTAGCCACTGCTATTGTGATACCCCAAAGCCTACAGAATAAGAACAGTAATATGTTAAAAGAGCTAAAGATTCATTTTATGGATAGAGGTGGTACTGGGGATGAGTTTTACATTTGGTATATGTAAGTTGTCCTTTACCCATTTTTCGTGGTTAAATGACTTAGTTATGTCCATGTTAAGGTATTTATGATAAGGCATGCTTCTTAAATCCTTTATTAGGACCTTAAACCTGAAAAAATGATGCTAAATTACAAGACATATATATGTTAATCTTGCAGTTGATGCAATTGCAACATTCATAATTGTATAAGGTTTGTAATATTTCACATGTAAGAAGAGCCAGACGAGTCATATTTGTATAAAGGTGGATTTGGGTTTGAGTTTTACATTTGATATATGTAAGTTGTCCTTTACACAATTTTCATGGTTGAATGACTTAGTTAAGTCCATGTTAAGGTACTATTTGTGATGATTAGGCCTAACTGCTTCTTACTACAATCAATAGGTCATCTTTATTTGGTATCCATCTCATTTTTATTCTTGATGAATTAATTAATTCATGTGGAATTGGTTATCCAGTTTAAAATTGATTTGTATCTCTTTTCAGGCACGGTTGACAGGGAAGAACAAGCAGAATCCAAAGTATGGCCACCTCCTAAAGCTCCAGATTACATGAAAACTGTTAAAGACTTACCATCTGGTGTTAGGGTGGTTAAAGAGAGCCAGGAAGGAGACGAGAAAACATCTCATAATACAACAGACACAAAAGCTGATATCATAAAGTCTGGTATGTTATGAATGATTTATAACGATCATACTCAAGTAAATTTCACACATAGAAACTTGAAAATCATTGAAATAACTAATGTTCTAGATATATATGAAAAAAAGGAGATGCAGGGTATAGGTCAATGAGACAATAAAAAAAAATATAAAAAAGTCATCAGATATCTAAAGGTCAACATACAGTTTGATAACAAATAGACAAGTGTCTTAAAAAAAATCTTCCAAGTCTTTTAAAATTGTGAAAGAATGTAGTAAAGCCATCATTGATCAAAGATCTTCCATTTAAAACTAATTCCCTTAAAAGTACAAATTTTATTTTAAATATATATGACTAAGACAAACACTGATGAAGTCAATGACTTTGAAGAGGAACATGTAGCAAAGTCAAACTAGTATTTTTAGCATCCATTGTAAATCTCCAAAAAGTGAAGTAACAAAAGGTACAAAGAAGTATAAAAGACAGGAAATATGTAATACACTAAAACATTCTGAGTGCAAACGAGTGGTAAATTAAGGGGGTACCCAACACTTTGACAAAGATAGATTTTGCTCGTTTAATTTTCATAAAATGTTTACAAAATATTTACTCTGACCTGTTGACAAAAATATGAAAATTTTAAGAAATTTTAACCACAAAGTTTACAGGAATAATTTCATTGGATATATAGCTGTTTGACAACCACTAATTTTGATCATTGACAGGCTTGATTTCTCTTTACTAATAGTATGTGATTAAAAGGTTAAGGTGATTTTTAAAGAGTTTACTCCCTTAGATGTTCTGTAACCCTTAATTAAAGCTAGACTACCAAAGCTCTGCAATCAACTTCTGTAATTAACCAATTGCTCACCAACAGCAAACCAGTAACTTCAATATACTAAGTAAGTTTTGAATCATAAGTATATATAAACAGCAATATAAATTCAAATGAAAAGAAAACTTTAATATTAAAATTTTGAGGTTTACATTTAATTTTACTTTATACTGCATCACAATTAATTTTTTTGTACAGGTGAAAAACATCCTGCTGAGGATCAGCATCAAGAAATGTCTAGAGAAACAATTGATCAAAATAAGTCTGTTCCTCCAAAATCAATCGGTGATGGTGGACCAGCAGTGGCTCACCATGATGATAGGTCTCCTTCATCACACAATGATGAAAAGCCTCCGTCGTCTCACCATGATGAAAGGCCTCGTTCATCACACCATGATGGAAAGCCACATTTGAATCACCATGAAAACCATGACAACCATTCTTCAGCAACATTAAGAAACAAAGTTCCTGTTGATGCCCAGACAGGTAAACAAGGAACTTAGTAATTGTCTCTCCCTATCACAAAGGGGCAACAAGGCCCAAAAGTTTAGAGCAAACTTAAAATTAACCATAGATGATTCTAAATTTGACTATGATAAAACTATGAGAAGTTACCATGGCAACTATCCATGACAAAATTAGTGAAATTTCTTAATTTTTCATCAATTTTTCAGTATATTTTGGATTGTAAAAGTATAGACACAACAAAGTTACAATTCTATATTTGGTAAAAAAAAATGAAATGGCTATAAGAAAGTATCTAAAATTATTTTGTAGTGGCCAATGTTTCAAGAAAGGAAATCTGCCAAAAAAGCCCAGCATTTTTCTTTATTTTGTGAATTATGCCCATATTATATGGCATAACTATGATCTCATAACATTGTAGATATTGTCTCAATTTATATAAATTTCTTAATTTCAAGCATTTTCCTAAGTTTTTATGGAAATTTGAAGTTGTTTTCAAAGACTTAAATTTTTGGAGCCAAAAAATGGCAAAAATACAATATAAGTTCTCCTTAACTGAAGTCCTTAACCTGTACGAGAATTTGCCCTACCTTCTCGTAACTAACAATTAATCAATGCTATAGTCAGAGAAGCTTTTTGAAAAGCTAATACCTGTATTTAATTGTACTTTATATACATTTGTATAAGTCTAAATAAAAATTTCCCATAATGTTGTAGGTTTGCCAGTATGGGTAAAAGAGTTAGATTATGAAGAAGAAGAACTGGCAAGTGGAAAGACCTTGAAATTACCTACTGTTGTCATGTCTGATGATAAAACTCCAGAGATTCCAGAGATTGGACAATATGGAGAACAAATAGTTCACAATTATCTTCTCAATGAAATGGACAAAAATCCTAATATATCATTTGTAAAATGGTGCAATGAGGATGAAGAAATCGGCCAACCTTATGATTTCACAGTAGGCATGAAAAGTGAAGATGAGGAATTTACTGTTTACATTGAAGTTAAAAGTACATTATCAGATACAAAAGAAATTTTTGAGATATCATATCCTCAGGTCAGGTTTGCACAGGACAACAGGGAGAGATTTCATGTTTATAGAATTTTTAATTCTCTAAATCCTGACAGAGTTAGACTTGTTCGTATACAGAATTTAGCACAGAAAATCAATGCAAAACAAGTAAAGTTATGTTTGTTGATATAAGTACCTATACCTTTATATCATTGCATACTTTGTTGCTTCTCTAAGATAAGAACTGAGATACGCACATACTGATATTATTAGTACTGTAAATTCAGAAATTATTGGGATGTTTTTATTATGGGGCATTATCTACGAGATATGAAAAAAAATAGAATATGAATCATTAATAAAAATGAAATAATAATTTGCTTTTAGCAGCCAATTTGGTTCAATTTTGTGAAAATAAGCAAAGAAACATCGCTGATGAAATATTCGCTTGCACTTAAAAATTATAATTAACTTATTTTTTTAACCTATAACATGAAATCAAACAGACCTAGAAAAAATCAATTGCACGAGGTGGATATCTATTTATATTTGTGTTTATGTTTATATTGGGTTATGTGACCGTCAGCAGTCTTCGGAGGTCATCTCGATAGTTAATTAGATGGCGTCTAGACTAAAATACACACAAAATTATGATATATATTATCGAGTACATGCATTGTTAACTGTTTATTTCAGACTTATTGTAATTTGGATATAGGTTTTAGTATGTTATAAATCAAATATGAGAATTTGAGTCAAATCGGTGAACATGAATTTGACAGCTAATGCCCTTTTAATGCCAAAATTGGGACAGTATCATTTTGCAATGATAAAAACTTCCATTAATAATTACAGAAGTGATGTTCCTTCATATATGTTTATAAAATATGTGCAATCACATTAATTAGATATCATATTTTGTCCTGATGTCAAGGATTTGCATTAATTTCTGAATTTACAGTTTATTTCAATTTGAATTTATCTACATAATTAATGTATGGTATTAATTAAAAAGTAAATTTATAATATAAAATGAGTGTTTAAGGTTTCAAACCAGCCCTTATTTTGAGGTCCAATCCTTACATTTTTATAAGGATTTCTTCAAAATATATTCACACTTCCTTTTGTAACAGATAACTTTTTTAATAAAAATATAGAACAGAATTGATCAAACCACATTAAGCATTATCCCTTGTTCACTGACAAAGGACAAGGTACGATAAGCCCCCGTTTTGGCACCCCTATTTTCTCATTTTTCAAATTTTGTTTTGGAAAGCTACTTATTATGTTGAAATATTCCCTTAAGTTTGAAGTTTGTTTGGATGAACTTCAAAACCATTAATTTCAGCAACTAGGTGAGGTGAGGGGGGTGAAAGGGCATCAAAAATGCCAAAAATAGGAAAAATTACGATTTTTGGCCTGTGTTTCTTAAAATTTAATAGCTTGCGCCTACGTGACCCAGAGAAAATTATGGCGATCTAGACAGCAAAAACAGTGATAATGACATTGTAATAAAAAAAATTCCTGGGTCACGTTGGCGCAGGCACTTAAAAACTAAAAAATCGTTGTTCGGAACACATTCAAAGTGAATAATAATTACAAAATCTGAATAATAACGGAAAGTTTACCCCATCACCTCACCCAGTTGCTGAAATTAATGGTTTTGAAGTTCATCCAAACAAACTTCAAACCTCAGGGAATATTTAAACATGATAAGTAGCTTTCCAAAACAAAATTTGAAAAATAAGAAATTAGGGGGGCCAAAACGGGGGCTTATCGTACCTTGTCCTTTAAATGGCAAATTTTGGGTAAAGACAAATACGAAATACTAGTGAAAACACTATGTTGGGGTTTGACAACAACAAAAACCTCCCAAAAAAGCATATTACTGTGTGAGAAGAAGAGAAAAACAATTTTACTGAAATTCAAAATGCATTATAAAAAGTTCTAAATGCTGGATTGTTTTAAAATGATCTAATAATTTTCATGGGACCACTTTGCAATTGACTGTCATCTTTGTAATGAGTACCATCTCCACACTTAATTTTATATACATATGTTCATCGTAGCCATGTCATAAACCTGAATTGTATAATCCTTTTCTGATAGTCTTTTTTGTATAGCATATTTTGTTTTAAATGGACTTTCTATATAAATGATTTGATAGATGTATTTAATTTCTTCTTATGGGATTCTATTTGAGGTTTGAATCTAGATTTCTTATTTTTGATTTGATAATATTTAGACTTGAATGTATTTTTAAAGATAAAAGAAAAGATTCACATCCCAAAAAAATCATTATCCTATAAATAAGAATCAAATTTTATTGTGTATTGTATATTTTTAAATTGGACCAAATGATGCTGTTCTGTGATTGACTTATTTTAGTTTTAATTTTATCTATGTAAAACCTTTCATTTTATGTGATTAAGTTCAGTATTATTTTTATCCATGTACTGGTTGAGGACCAGCTACTGTCAGTTACCAGTTACCATCACAGGCATTTTATGCAATAATAGATATAAGAAGATGTGGTATGAGTGCCAATGAGACAACTCTCCATCCAATACATATGTAGAATGGTTTATAAATTTGAAAATCAAATTTTATGCTCTCTTCAATACAGTGTTACTTGTTGATTTCCAATGACACAAATTCATGATCAGTTTAAAGTTAACAAAGGTAGAAGAGCTTCAAAATTTATGGATGGAATGACAACATGTTTTGTTCATTTGAAATGCCTTCTTCTCTTCTTACCACAAAATAGCTGAAAAGACTATAATATTAAAATTAAGTGGAAATTTCTATTATTTAGTAACTAGGTTCTTAAGTGACAGTAACTGGTCCTCATACCCATACAATTTCATGCAAAAATCAACACACCTGTTACTCATTTTTAGCTCACCTGGCCTAAAAGGCCAAATGAGCTTTTCTTATCACTAGGTGTCCGTCGTCCTTAGTTGTCTTTATCTGTTAACTTTTACAAAAATCTTTTCCTCTGAAACTACTAGGCCATATTAAACCAAACTTGGCCACAATCATAATTTGGGTATCTAGTTTGAAAAAATGTGTCCGATGACCCTGCTTGTCAACCAAGATGGCCAACATGTCTAAAAATAGACCATAGGGGTAAAATGCAAGTTTTGTCTATTAATTTGAAATTTGCTATAAATCAAGAAAATCTGGTAGGGAGCAAAAATGTTCAGAATGTTGAGCTCTACCTATTGTCTATTTACGTCAAAACTGTCAGACGACTTCCTATACGAGTTATTGCTCTTAAATGATGAATTTTACCATTTTTTAAAATTTTGTCTTTTATCTCGAAAATTATAATAGATTGACAGAAACTCTAAATAGCAAAAATGATCAGCAAGACAAGATCCACAAATAAGTCAAATGGCGGAAAATCTTCGGTCTACTCGTTAGTGGAGTTATTGCCCAAAATGATAATTTTTGTCTCTCCTGCGACGAAAGTTGTGGAAAGTGAGACAAAGGAATTGCTTTTCTGGCAATAGCGACAGTGAAGTTGACAGCGACAATGGTGACAGCTTCAACAATTGTTCAGTTTTCTGCTTAAGATAGTTTGATAGGAACTACTTGTGAGAGATCAGTTATATTTTGTACGAAGTTACATTACTATCAGTACATATCAGTTTGACAACTATTTTGAGGCCCTACCCCCTAGTTTATAGTCCAGTGACTTTCAATTAATTACCAATTTTCAATGTTAAGTTTTCTACTTTAGTAAGTTTAATAGGAACTACTTACAATTGACAATTATATTTTCTATAAAGTTACATTACTGTCCAAACATCATTTCCAGGCCCTTCCCACTAGTTCATGGTCCAGCGACTTTGAATTAATTAGCAATGTTAATGTCCATCCTATTGTCTTTTTCAGAATTTTATGCCGACAGGCGAGACATATCTCTGTGTCAACAGTTTATTTACATTTTTTTTGCATTTTTTGCCTATTATCTTGACAAGTATAATGGATAAATAGAAACTTTAAAAAGGAAAAATAATCAGCAGGATAAGATCTACAAATACATGAACATGACTGAATTGTCAGTTAACTCTTAATATAGTTATTCCCCTTTAATGATGATTTTACTAAAAAGTGGCCATTGTTGAAGATGCAGGTGAGCGACACAGGTTCTTTAGAGCCTCTAGTTTAGTGTTTATAAGGGGATTTGAAATTAGTCAGAGCCTACGTTAATAAACCTTATTTTTGATAACCCTTTATATGTTACAAGAATATTTCCACACACAGTTTCTGATAAAAAAATATTTGAAAAAAAACTTTGAATTTCTGATGGTAACTAGTACTGGACCAGTAGAGCTTTTCATTTCATGTGACTACATGTGCCATATAATTTTTATTCAATTTTTATTATTTTTGTTACTTTTTTAATCAAATTTCTATTATGAAATAAAGCCATGAAAAATTAATCTTAACTTGTGATATTCTAGGTTTCTATACCACAGCATCAAAAGAGGAGCATATATTTGTTACCCTCTGTCCATTCATGTTTCAGTCAAAGCATCAATCCACATGCTCTGCTTGTGTAACACTTTTCCTTCCCATTTTCCACAATATATAATTGTTTCTATACTTTTCTCAGCAAATGTATATCAAGCTGTTCCCTAATATTTGGTGCTAAAGAATGATTAATTAAGCTATCCTGTGTAACTCATTTAATTTTATAATGTGTAATGCATGAAAAATAGTATCCCAAAAATACTGAACTCCAAGGCAAATTAAAAAACAGGAAGTCCATAAAAACTGACAAAATCAAATGTTATCAACCAATGAGTGAGAATCAGCTGTATTATCATTCTGTTATATTGTGTTATTTCTTTATTAGTGGGCTATCATTGATTGGCTTATAGGTTTGTGAACTCTTGGTTTGAATAATGGAACAGATAACAAATATTTTGTGTAATGTGACCTGATATTGAAAATTGAATCAGCCACTTAAACCATGAAAAATTGTATACACCTATTGATTGGTTATGAGGGTAATAGCAAGTTTGTTGTGCCTGAGATACCAACTCTTGCTCAAGGCAAAGGTGAGGGCAATAGTTAGTATCAAAGGGACAAAAAACTTGCTATTACACTCATAACCAGTCATTAAGTGTTTTATTATACCGAACAAAACATCTTTCTAAAAAGTTAACATACACCACTTTGAAAAAACACACAAATAGTCACTTAAACATGCACAAGATGAACAAGTTGGTTCCTTTTGCCCATGTGGTATTTGTAAATATCTTATTTACTGTAATCAAGACCAGGAATCCTTGTGTAATAAAACCCTTGCATATAATAAATGCTAGCTAAAATATATTACTGTATACCAAAGCAATCACAGATAATGAAGACGACAACAGTCCCATACCATACATTTGTTTAGAATCTTAGATCTTAAAATATGTAGTTTTTCTTTTTCTTTTTTAATTGCTTCTGGTAAGTAATATACCTGTAAATTTGAAATTACGACGACAGACACATACAGATTATACCGTTTACGATATATCAGAGTTGAACGCGTTGCCAAGTGCTCAAATCAAAGCATAATAGTCAATGATGTCATTGTTGTCCAATGAAAATTAGTATGAAAAAATCCTGGAAATATGTTGATAAAACTATTAACCGGGGTAATAGTTTTTGAAACTATTGACTGGCAAATAGTCTGTGGAATGAAATACCACAAAATATTTCATTCTTTTTAATATGGAAAAAACATGCTGAGGTATAATAATTACTTTTATTAACTTGATTTTCAAAGTATCAAGTTTAATGGCACAAGAAATTTTATCTATCATACAAAGATGAATATACATAGACATTATTAACAAAAGAGCTTACTTGAACAACATATGATCAAGACAGGCAAAGGGAGAGCTACCTGCATGTTAAACTGGTATTAACCAGACACATTTCGTTCCTGTACCAAGTTTGGTAATCTGGACTGTGTGTTTTTTGTTGCATGTCTTTGTACATCTATTTTAATGGATGAGGTTTGGTGGTTAGTGTTGCCTATTGAATGTATATAGATATACTGTCCAATATTTTAGGTAATTCTAGTAGCAAAATACGACGTTAATCACAGTTAATGTCAAGACTAAGTGAAAATGTTTATCATTTATTAGCTCAATTTACACTTTATGGGTAATGGTCCTCATCCCCATAGAAAATCAAGCAAAATTTTGCTTAAACACAAATTAGCATTTTGCACTAATAAACAGTCCATGTTTTTGATGCTAACCTTAACTTTTGGTAATTCTTTATATGCTAAAACATTTTTATACCCCACCTAGGGGCATGTTTTTCGGTCTGTGTGTTCGTTCGTCCGTCTGTTCCTCTTCAGGATAAAGTTTTTGGTTGCTTCAGGTTAAAGTTTTTGGTCAAGGTAGTTTTTGATGAAGTTGAAGTCCAATCAACTTGAAACTTAGTACACATGTTCCCTATGATATGATCTTTTTAATGCCAAATTAGAGTTTTGACCCCAATTTTACGGTCCACTGAACATAGAAAATGATAGTGCGAGTGGGGCATCAGTATACTATGGACACATTCTTGTTTTCCAAATTGAGTTTGTGTCAAACAAATTTCAGGAAAAACTTTTGATTTCTTAAATAACTGGTACTTGACATAGTATATAAAACCAAGCTTCATATAGGAAAACTTATTCGTGTAGTATATTTTTCATATCTTCCATGCATTTGCATCTGGTTTAATACTACCAGATTCATGTTTTGATGCAAGTTTTACTTTTCTGTCACAAGGGATTGGGAAGTTTGCATCAGTGAGTAGAAGTTTACAGTACATCTTGATTTTACTTAATAATTGTGACTATTACTGATTGGGTTATGGGGTTTTGAAGTTTGGTATGAATCTATGCAAAGAACACATATTTTGGGAAATACTCGTGGAGAATAAAATACTGTGGTTTAAAGCAACCACTTAAACCGTAAAAATAAGTTTCCTTTAAAGTATCAACACTTTAACAGTACATGATATTTTCAGGATTTAGTTATTGTTGGAAGATCAACACATTTTGTAGTATGGACACACATACACACTAAAATTTTCTATCCGTTGTTGGTTTCATAGTTTTCATAGAGTCAAAGATTGTTGTCTGCATAAGTAATGTTTAGTTTGGAATTTTTGTTGTGGAGAGGGGTGGGGTATAAACCAAACACATAATATGCCTTTATGAAGTCAGGATATGTGGATCATATGTTGTTTTTCATTTTATTTTCATTTTACATCTATTTTCATCGGAGGCTAAGGTTATTGGTGTGGTTTTATGTACTGCTTTTTTGGTCATTCCAGTTTTTGGTTATGTACATGAATATGAATTTCACTAGGCTAAATAATTATTTTGTTGAGTTGTAATGTGGCAGATATTACTGATACCCTGTACTTGTTTAAGTATGAAATTGTCCCAAATGCCAATTTTCATAGTACATCGTATATGTAATATCTGACATCTTTCCCTTTCCTAGTAGCTACATTAAAAAGAAAAGAAAGAATAGATCAAGATATTTGGCTGACAGAGATAACACATACTAGATGAAAAGGATAATATTTTTAGTTATTTTTAGTTTGTTGTAGTTTCTGATGAAGACATCATCCTTAAAAAAATTGTTGAAAAATCATGTAGATAGTGTTCTTTGTATCATCGTAATGATTTAAGGACCTCTTTAATTTGGGCCAAGTGAGCTTTTTTCATCACTTGGCGTCTGTCGTCCGTCATCGTTAGCTTTTACAAAAATCTTCTCCTCTGAAACTACTAGGCAAAATTTAACCAAACTTGGCCACAATCCTCATTAGGGTATCTAGTTTAAAAAATGTGTCCAATGACCCCGCTTGCCAACCAAGATGGCCAACATGGCTAAACATAGAACATAGGGGTAAAATGCAGTTTTTGGCTTATATCTCTGAAACTAAAGCATTTAGAGCGAATCTGATATGGGGTAAAAAAATGTTCAGCAGGTTAAGATCTATCTGCCCTGAAATTTTTAGACGAATCAGACAACCCGTTGTTGGGTTGCTGCCCCTGAATTGGTAATTTAAGAAAATTTTGCAGTTTTTGGTTATTATCTTGAATTTTAGTATAGATAGAGATAAACTGTAAACAGCAATAATGTTCAGCAAAGTAAGATCTACAAATAAGTTAACATGACCAAAATTGTCAATTGACCCCTTAAGGAGTTGTTGCCCTTTATAGTCAATTTTTAACAATTTTTCTTAAATTTTTGTAATCTCTTACAAAAATCTTCTCCTCTGAAACTATAGGGCCAAATTTAACTAAACTGGGCCACAATCATCATTAAGGTATCTTGTTTATAAAATGTGTCCAATGACCCCGCCTGCCAACCAAGATGGCCGATATGGCTAAAATTAGAACATAGGGGTAAAATGCCGTCTTTGGCTTATATCTCTGAAACTAAAGCATTTAGAGCAAATTTTACATGTTCAGCAGGTTAAGATCTATTTGCCCTGAAATTTTTAGACGAATCAGACAACCTGTTGGGTTGCTGCCTCTGAATATTGGTAATTTTAAGGAAATTTTTCAGTTTTTATACGACCGCAAAAAAATTTTGTGGTCGTATATTGGTATGACGTTGGCGTCGTCGTCGTCGTCGTCGTCCGGCGTCGTCGTCGTCGTCGTCGTCGTCGTCCGGCGTCGTCGTCCGAATACACAATGGTTTTCGCACTCTAACTTTAGTTTAAGTGAATGGATCTCTATGAAATTTTACCATAAGGTTCAATACCACAATAGGAAGGTGGGGATTGATTTTGGGGGTTATGGTACCAACAGTTAAATAATTAGGGGCCAAAAAGGGGCCGAAAATAAGCATTTTTGTAACTTCCAGACATAACTTGTGTGTTATTGTATGGATCTCTTTGACATTGTACTACAAGATTCCATATCACAAAGGGTCGATGATGGGATTGATTTTGGGGTTAATTTCCTCGAAATTTTAGGAATAAGGGGCCAAAAGGGGGCAAAAAACAAGCATTTTTCTAGTTTCATGACAATAACTTGTGTGTAAGTGTATGGATCTTTCTGAAATTTTACTACAAGGTTCCATTTCGCAAAGGGAAAGCTGGAATTGAGTTTTGTGGTAATTGCCCAAAACGTTTAGTAATAAGGGGCCTAAAAAGGGGTGAAAAATAAGCATTTTTTAGTTTCTAGACAATAACTTGTGTTCAAGTGTATGGATCTCTCTAAAATTGTATTACAAGGTACCATACCACAAAGGCAAGGCTGTTATTGAGCTTGGTTTGGGGGGGAAGGGGGGGGGGTGATGAATCATAGGGGGGGGGGGGGGGGTCAAAAAAGGGGTAATTATTTTTTTTCGTTTAAGGAATAAGGGGAAAAAAGGTTAAAAAACTAGGGTTTCCATTTTAATAGACAAATAATTGAGTAAAGAAC